GAGAAAAAAAATAAAATTGAACTGTTAAATTTTCGCGTGAATATATGTAAATTTTACTTAAAAAGTAAATGGATAAAATAATCAAAGAATTGCAATCAATATTCTATTTTTTTTCTAATATTAAAAATCCTTGAAGTGGGAATATTTTAAAATTTTATTCTTCAAATCTTTCCCTATTTTGCAATAAGAAAGAAAGAAGCAAAACCATTTTCTGTGTACTTAGGAGGGAAAGGGGCGGAATTGGTACATGTGCATGTTCTTCACTAAATGTTATCTGTTTGTTGATTGACAACCAAACGAATATTAAATATTTTAGTAATATGTTATAGGAATAATTAATTAGTTCATTTTTATCAACTGTTGTATCTTCTTGGTTCTGCTCCTACATAAGTTTTAGAACTACAACTGAAGGAGTAATGATTAATATCTCATCTCGAGCCAAGGGTAAATTTACTTATGAAAATTGTTGAAACTTTTGACTACCTCACATCGGATACCTATGTAACTGAAACATTAGTTTAATGAAATCGAATAGGCTGTACAGGGATACCTACGTGATATAATTGGAGGGAGCAATGATATACTCATGCAGCCACGTGCTTCCTGGTTTTTATCTTTGGCCTGAGCTGCATGACATTGTTCTCAAAATCGTAAAATATATGCTAAGGATTTGTATCCCTAAAGGAAGTGCCATGATTTATAATTATTAATGTTAGCCATCTCTTGCCATGGTTTTAGGCTTCATGCAGCTGCATCATCTGAGAGTCCCGCAGACATAAGATAGCTAGCTGGATACGAGGCAGATAAACATGGATCCCAGAAATTTATCTCTTCTTGTCCCCACATACATCTATTCAAGAGCATAGCTACCGGTCGTTGTCGTGGTTGGTTTCTTCAAAATATTTTACCATGAATAAAATCAATTGTGTTTTCCATAACTTTTGAGAGGTTATAATATAACCTTGGGATAGAATATAGAAACAGGAAAGAAAGAAAGAAAAATGATAAATGAGACAATTAAAAGAAAGAGAGGTAAATAGAAAGAACTATTAATATTAAATCTTATAATTAGTTTTAAATAATTAAAATGAGCTTTAAAAATTACTCTTAATTAAATTGTAAAAATTATGTTAGAGCAAATTATAAAGTGTGGTAATAGTACATTAATAATGTTTTATTTTAATAAAAAAAACTTAATAAGAATACTACCTACTATATATTTGTTAAAAAGAAAAAAGGTTAAATAAAAATAAAAATATAAAAAAATTAGATTGAAATAAAATAGATTATGGGGGTGATCTCATCCCTAGATTTTGTTACAGTCATTGTATGTAACAAGAAGTGGAGTAATCTTCCAGTTATTGCTTGGGGTTTACAGGTGAGACCAGTTATTGTTGAAGCTGAATATTACATTCTGCAGATAGATCTTATAAAAAAGGCTAGTAGTCCTGTTGAGCTCAAATGCGGAATAACTTGGACGTGTAAATTAAAATTCTGACGTAAACTGGCGAGCAATAATTCAGACCTAATAAATAGATCTAGCAGCGCAGCGGTGTAACTTGTAAAGTGTGCACTGAAATACTTCTCAGGAAAGAGAGTTGGATCACAACGGATCACTTAAATACCAGGTCTTTCCTTAGCCAGAATCTTTCCAGTTACAACACTAATACAAATACACACTTCTCCAGCAATCCAACAATCAGCCACGGAAGGATAACAAAAATAATTCTTTTCTGATGTGGAAGATCAGACTAAACTGCAACCACAGAGCATACTAAGAATTATTTTAACTGAATAAAATAAGCAGATAAAGAACACCACTATTTAACGTGGAAAAACCTCCAATGTGGAGGAAAAATCACGGGACAAACTCTGAAAAATATTCCACTATATCTCAGGATATTTACAATATCCTTTCAACACTCTATCACACAAGAGGTGTAAAATATAGTGTACACAGTGAGACCCACTCCTATTCAAATATTACAAATTTTGTAATACCAAAAAGAAATAGAGATGATACCCACCCCAGTGTATTTTTCTCACACTCTTAGGATTTACTCAACACTCTATTTTTTTTTTCTCTCACAAACACTCACAATGCTTGATGAAATCTTGTGTGTGTTGCTGCTTGTGCTTCCTTCAATTTCATTTCACGGCTATTTATAGCCAAATAAAATTACTATTCATTTAATAAAATATTATTAATTGTTTATGAAGTTAAAAAAAAGGGGGCACCGAAATTGAAAATGTGCTGGACCTCACAAGTCCTTCTCACCCTTGTACCAATAATAATATGTTGATGGTATTAACTTGAAGATATTACCATTGCACTGGTAAGCTCTCAGATGCCAATTGCTTGGCTAATCATTTCGGCCAAATTTGACCCAGAAGCTAGGTCTACACCTTTAACTGCATGATATTCTTCTCCTTTATGCTGAGACTGAGATTGTGGGGGATAACTTAAGGAATATAGGATTCTCACGTAGTTTTCCTTGCTAGCTGGGCTTCTTTTAGCCACTCTCTCTCTCTCTCTCTATCTCTCTGGATTAAAAGCAGCATCTTATCATTACTATGACAAGGGACTCCTAATTGTGCATCATATACATTTTTTAATTTAAATAAAATACCAAAATGAATGCAAATATATTTAAAATGATAAAATTATATAAAAGATGATTTTTTAATTTATAGATAAGATAAGTATGATTAATTTAAAACTATAAATTTAGTTTTAGATTAATTTCTAAGGTTATATAAGACATAATTTATTCAACAATTACTACATTACACACGTAAAAGACAATTCTTTAAAAAAAATATATTAACATGAGCTGCCTCTGATTATGAATTTCTTATTTGATACTGAGGCATCATAGTAGCTAGTGGTAGAAATTAACTATACAAGACGACAATGAATGTTGATATAATCATGGTATAAAATGAAAGACAATAATAGCGACAAATTTATTTCATTCTGAGCAAAAATAGGATCCATTTCTAGCGGCATATCAATGTTGGCTCGTGAAGTTTCCCCCTAAACAATATCATACGTTTAATAATGTTGGGTTTAATTATGGTAACAAAGTCGTATAGCTTTTATTATTGCTCTTGGGAATCAATTATCTCTGATTCAGATTTACGAATTAATTCTGAGCAAAATAAATGTAAAATATGATTGAGAATATATATATAAAAAAATTATTGAGAATATAAAATCGAATAAATTCGGTGATTGCATAATAATGACAGTTGTATTGCAATGGCATGGTTGTCAAGCAACGATGGTTGTTGTTTATTAAAAGTTTGTGTGTGATACACAAAAGTGTACCTAATATTTCTCTTTTAATTTTGCGAGGGGGTCAACTGCTTAACTTGTTAAAAAATAGTGAGTGAGATGTTTCACGGCTGATGATAGGTAAGCGTCACCTCTTATGCTCAGCCAAAACATCAACACTCTTTTTAAGCTTAACTGGAAGTTAAATATACCATACATTGACATTGATGACCAAATGCCAAATGCAAAGATGGTATATATAATTTGCAAATTATTTGTGCAGAAATAGAAAAAAAAATAGTTTTGTCTGTTTTTTGTTTAGGATTCCCAAACATTTTTAGGCTATATTTAATGAATTTATTAAAAAAAAACTCATCTTCTTAATAAATTTACGAATATAAGAAATAATAACAATAATTTAATGAAATTATACTCACCTATAATTTCTTCTAAAGTTACTCTTTTTACTTTAGAAATTTTATCTTGTAAATTATTTAATGTTTTGAAAATTCAAATATTTCTATAGTAAAAATAAGACAATATAATAAGAACTTAACTCTAACATGTAATTTCTTGACTACATGGGAACTTATTATTGATCACATCGTATACCATAATACGATAATCAATTCCCAACCAAGTATTATTTTACTAGCTTAGTCTTTTAATTCTGTAAAGTCATAGTCTGAGTTTAATTTTAAGATGACCCATTAACATATCATATGCAACTACATTATAAATCCTCGCTAACTTCAGCGCTCTTCCATAATTTTGCATAAAAATGAACATTCTACTAATCTTTTTTTTTTCCTGAAAAAATAATGCAAAGTATACTAACAATTATTTATATTGTGTATATTCTTAAAAAAATACAATTTATATTTACATAAATATTGTGTTTTCGTTTAACATTATATTAATAGTTAATGCAATAGATTTAATTACATCCATAACCCGATATGTAAAAATCTAAAAATATGATAAAAATAATTAGCAGATAATAATATAAAGATAATTCAAATAGCATGAATTTTATATCAATACAATATACTATACAAAGAGCGAACAAAAGAAAAGATAAACAGATTGCGATAAAAACATTAAAAAAAGAGAGTGTAATTTATAAAGATCTTGATTAGCTGGATGCTTTAGAACTTCCACTTTGTTTAGTAAAAAGAAATACTCATTGTTTATAAAGACGAAGACATTAGGAGGAGACCTACAAAACCCGAAGGTAAAGGTAAAAAAGGTGGAGAAAAATACTAGTTTAGGAAATATACAGGACAGTTACTCCAAATTAATTAATAATAAATAAATTATTAAAAATAATAATTAATGAATGTCACTAATCAATATTTTTAGCTCATTATTTACTAAATATTCATTAAAACTTAGATTAAAATAATTATAATTTTAAAAAATCAATTAATATCTTTAAAAAAACTGAGTGACAATTGGCATAATTAATTAGAGTAATCTGATTGAGGTTAGGAAGAGTGTACAGTAGAGAAAAAGGAATGCGTGGTCCAGTGAGGTGGGCAAAGCTGCAGCGCACTCTCTCTCTCAACAAAACAACAACGCATCGTTGTCGACATCATTGCCATCCCAGAAACACATGCAAACCCCTCCAACACGTGTCTCTTTCCATTCACCAATTCCCAGATTAACATTTCTTTATTTATTTCACCCTCTAAACCCCGTTTGTTTCTTACACACAATTTCCTGTGGTCCCCACCATCTCCCTCTCTCCACTTCTTGTTTTTTTTGTTTGCTCTCACCAAGTGTTTGTTTGTTTGCCTGATTCAATTTTCCTTGTTAATTGTTGTTGTCCTAATACGATGAGATAATCAAAACCCATTATTCATTCCCTTCGTTTCTGACGGAAATTGGTCTCCTGCTTTGGTTGTGTGTCCATCTCACGTTCACACTTGCCTGCTACATGTTTCTCCAGTTGTCACCCTTCCTCACTCTATTTTACTCCTTTTTCTTGGAAAGTAGAAACAAGGGGTCGCATTTTTTTTTCCTCTAGGGGAAGGAAACAGAGAAAAGTTTAAAGATACCGACTTTTAACTGAAACAGAATGTGGGTGTTTGCAAGCAAGGCTTTTTAAGTCAGTAAAGCCACTTTCTTCGTTTCATCTATGAAATCATAGATAACTTGATCCCGTGCTACTACCCCAGCTGCATTTGCTTTATTGTTATTCTTTTTGCTTCAGGAGTGGAATCTACGTATGAAAGTTGAAATCTTTGTTTCATTTTCTGGTGGAGGAAAATTGTTTTGAAGCTGACTTGGGTTGGTCCTCAAAATATTTTTATGCCTTTTTGCTTTCCCCTTTTTTTTTAAGTTCATAATTCTCTCTCTCTCTCTCTCTCTCTCTCTCTAGGAATTGGGTGCTTCTATTTCTTTAATGCAAGATTATGGGTTTAGATTAATGGGTTTAACAGTTCATGCCTAGTCATCAATACGCGTTTCGTATACGTGTTGATATCTTCCTTTCTTCTTCTGTGCATGTTTGCTTGGTGTAGCATTCAGATCTGCATCTGGCCTTGAGCGTGGCGTACATCCAGACATTCTCACTGGTAATTCAGCTAATTTGTTTCATTTTTGCTTGGAATTTTTGTTTTTTGGCTGCTGTGAACCCAGCTTCAAGATTCTTCTTTTATTTTCTTTGGAAAAAAAAATTACTGAAGCTCATGGTTCATAGAGTTCAGTAGAGTCCAAAGCCGTGTCATATAAATTGTATAATGCATTGTCAAAAGTCGCCTCTGCACTTTGGATTTGTATATTTTTTTATCTAGTTGTTGAATATGAGTAGGTAATTGTTGATCTTTGTGATGAATGCAGATCAAGTTGGAATAAGGTATCTGCTTTCGTGCCAACAAGTCTTAATTGTGTGGAAGGAGTGCTTCTGTGTTGAAGTGGTAGCCCGTTTCAGTGTTTTAAGTTTGGAGGTCTAATATGCTTGTGAGAAAGAGAGGTTCTTGAATCTGAGTAATTAGGTCTGAGAGGAAGGTGATTCTTTGTTGGGGCTAGATATGGCCTCTAGTCAAGGGAGGCGGCATCACCATGATCTTGTGCCTCTTGCTGCATTGCTGAAGAGAGAGATGAAGAGTGAGAAGATGGAGAAACCCACCGTGAGGTTTGGGCATGCTGCTCAGTCCAAGAAAGGGGAGGATTACTTTCTAATTAAGACTGATTGTCAGCGAGTGCCTGGGAACTCTTCATCATCCTTTTCTGTATTTGCGGTATTTTTCGACTTTACTATTTCAGATTATAGTTACTCCTCTAGAAATGCAGGATATAATAACTACTAGCTTGGAGATTGCTGATTTGCAGTTCTGCATGCTTTATTGAAATTTTGCTCTATTTTTTACTCTGGAGGTGTAGCAATGGCCTTTTCAGATTGTAATCCTGAATTGTGAGCTAATATGAATGTCCTTTTGGATGGAAGCACATGATCCTATGAGATGGTCACCCATTTATTCTGGTTCACAGATCTTTGATGGGCACAATGGAAATGCTGCTGCCATTTTTACCAGGGAGCATTTGTTAAATCATGTGCTGGGTGCTCTCCCTCGCGGGCTTGGACGAGATGAGTGGATACAAGCTTTACCTAGGGCGTTGGTTGCTGGGTTTGTTAAGACTGATAAGGAATTCCAGAGCAGAGGTGTGGATTTTAGCTTTTATTATTATTGTTATTTTTATTTGTAATAGAAGAATTATTCTTATTGGGAGGATGGAAATACAGAACCGGAGGATCAGGAATGTATTTATCTTTTACTGATTTTATGAGTCCTTGTCCGGTTTTGTCCAGGGGAAACTTCTGGAACCACAGCTACGTTTGTAATAGTGGATAGATGGACTGTGACTGTTGCATCTGTTGGAGATTCCCGTTGTATACTGGATACCCAGGGTGGTGCTGTTACCACCTTAACTGTTGATCACAGACTTGAAGAAAATATTGAAGAGTATGTTTTTATCTCAAAGGCCTAGTAGTTGGTTTACTTTTTTTTTCCTTGCTCTTGGTTATGAGTTTCACTGTATACACAGGAGGGAACGTGTAACTGCTAGTGGAGGTGAAGTTGGGAGGCTTAGCATTGTTGGTGGTGCTGAGGTGAGCATATTATGTTGTAGTTATACAATTTTCATCTTAAAATGGAATAAAGGAAGAGATCATCCATTTATTCCTTCCCCACTTTCAGCATCTAATTCTGAGGGCATTCAATATAGCTTATACTTGTTTTAAAGTTTAGTTCCAATCCGTTACAGATTGGTCCCCTTCGATGCTGGCCAGGGGGTCTATGCCTTTCTAGGTCAATAGGAGACATGGATGTTGGGGAGTTCATAGTTCCGATACCATATGTCAAACAAGTGAAGGTATAATTTGTTTCCGGATAATTTCTTCTTCTTTATGTCATTGATTATAATGCCTATGCATCCTGCTAGGTCTTTGTTCAGGATAACAATCTTACACTTTGTCATGGATTATAGCTATCAAATGTTGGCGGGAGGCTTATAATTGCTTCTGATGGAATATGGGATGCTCTATCCTCAGAAATGGCTGCAAAATCTTGCCGAGGTTTGCCTGCAGAACTTGCTGCTATGCAGGTTGTCAAGGTAGTATGCACTGCAAAGCTATCTGATAATTTAGCCAAATCAACACGTCTTCTGGCTTGTTATTTGACATTAGCTTCAAAGTGGCATTTCTCTTGACACATGCATATATATTCCTACTGTTATTCAGGAAGCACTAAGAACAAGGGGGTTAAAGGATGATACGACTTGCATAGTTGTTGACATAATCCCACCTGATAATGAGTTGCCACCAACACCTCCCCCAAAAAAGCGGAACAAGCTGAGAGACCTTCTGTTCAGGAAGAGGTCCCGGGATTCTGCCGGTAAGCTGTCAAAAAAGCTTTCAGCTATAAATATAGTGGAGGAACTGTTCGAAGAAGGATCAGCAATGCTTGCTGAAAGGTAATCTATCATTCTCTTTTAATAGGAAAAAATCATTCAATTGATAAGCACTGGAAAATCTCATGAAGATGCCTTGCATATTGTTTTCCATCTACGGACCGCCATTTCTCCCCTCAGGATTTATATCATTAAAAGTAGTTGATAGTATGAGTAAACTGAAGTGTCAAAAGGTGGTGGGTGGTCTTCTATTGTAGGAGCTAACTCATATTTTTGTAGTTTATAAAAAAGGGTGGGAATATTAGTGACTGGTAAATTAGGCTTATATCAGCATGGTGTTGGAGAAAAAGACAAATTCTTTATAATTCCATTGAAATTTGGGAATTCAGCTAACTAATATGATGGTGTGAAGATTTATTATATTTAGGATTTGTATTGAGGGTTATTTCAGAGTAATGGAGAAAGACAAGATATTAATAATTTCATGGAAAATTGGGAATTTAGCTAATAACGTCTGAATATTTTTGAAGTCAAAATGAAGATTTTGGTTGAAGCTAATAACGTCTCTTTCCGCTGCTGAAGTATGTCCCCCTCCCTTAAGAAAAAAAAACACAAACATTAAGGATCTTCAATATAATGATGCATTGTCATTTCTGAATATCATCCATAGATATACACAAGGCTTCATGTACCAAAATTCAAAAAGATAAGATTTTTGTTTGGACTGATTTCTATTTTACTATGAAAAGTTTTGAATTTGAGTTAGTTTGATGTAGGATTACAGTTTATTGGAAATAACTATGAAGAATATAGCAAGGGAATGCATTATTTATGGTGTTCAGTTAACAGTACACAGTTTGTCCAACTACTGTTTGACACATATTATGTTAATACTGAAAGCATATTATATATTTGATCCCTCTCCCTCCTAGGTCAATGTTGATATGTTACTTCACATCTGCAAAATTCAATTTAATGGAAAAAAAATGTTAAAGAGAACATAAAATGATCGGTATCCATCCTGACCTAATAAACTAACGGATTTTATCCCTCATGCTTTGCATGGCCATTTGGCTGTAAAAACGCTCATATTCTATCCTATCGTCTCCTACAATATTCTTGATTGATTCTCTTCAACTGATTCCTACTTGGGATGCTATGCAAGCCAAATTCAGTATGTGTTCTGTAGTTATGAGTTTATTAAAGAAGCATTACATGCTTGGTTGTCTCATTGAGTGAGACCTACTCAGAGACAAGTTCTAGCTCTAAATATTTTTAAAACTGTTGTGGTTCATGGATTTAATACTTAGTATGTCCTGCAGATTAGGAAATGATGACAACTTGAACTCAGGACAATCAACATCTGGGCTTTTTGTCTGTGCTGTATGCCAAGTTGATCTTGCTCCAAGTGAAGGCATCTCTGTCCACGCAGGTTCCATCTTCTCCACCAGTGCAAAACCCTGGCAAGGTCCTTTCCTATGTTCTGATTGTCGCGATAAGAAGGATGCTATGGAAGGAAAACGTCCCAGCGGAGTTAAAGTATCATAGGTTCAAAATTGGAGTAGTCCTATTCTTTATGCTATCATTCACTTTGTAATCACAATTTATATAGGCCAAGTAATTGGTTGAATCTCACTGTCAAGTAGCAACAAGAGATGTACATGTGATATCCACGAATTCATGTAAAATGGGAAATTGCATTTGAATAGCAAAGGCTGGGAGCTGGGAGAGCCTGGACTGAGTTTTTGGGGGTCTGCAGGTTGTCATCTCTGTCTAATTGTCAAAGAGTTGGATGGTTAAGATCAGTGCCAGGTTGATTCTTTTGTATATTAGTTTTGTGTTGCTAAATTTACCACAAAAGTGGGTATCATCTTTGATCACGTGGGCATCATTGCATGCTACCTTCACCCCAGATTCCTGTATATAAACTTCCATAACCTTTTCAGCCCTGGGGATTAGAAACTGCAAATCTTTACGATGGATTGAAAAATCATTCATTTAAATTTAGGAATTGCTTGTTAAATATGTTCCCTTTTACCCTTGCCTTTTTTTGCTCCCACCCTCAATTTTGTCCTTCAGGAGGGGCTATAGTTCTTTCAGAAAAATAACTGGAACAATAGTGTAACGATTAATGCTTTAGTGGTACCATACGAGAACATGATTTTTTAAAACTGTTTTGGAAACTTCATCGCATTAACAGTATCTTCGTACTAAATAGCCGTCTTTTGTACATTCATGTGAGGGTTTTTTAATTCAATTGAAAATAATTTAATTTAATTTAATAAAATTAGTTTTATTTTAAAGTAAGTTTAAAATTATATAATTTATGTTTAACAATTGTTTACTAGAGAGTAGAATTTTAATAAAACTTAAAATATAATTTTTTTGTATGTAAAAAAAAATTGGTACAAAGGTTATAATTTATTCAATTTATTTATTACTTAATTTGAGTACAATTGCATTTTAACCCGGATCCAACCATTCACTTGAAAAATATGCACTACTCTACCCAATTTATTGAAATTTAATTTATAGCAATATAATTCAATCTCTCTCTGACCTTAAATAATAATTTTTTCTTCAATTGTTACATTTTGTTTGATAAGTAAATAATTGCCGAAATAACCCTGAATAATTAATATTTTAAAAACAATAATTTACACCCGAGGGGTGCACTGATATAAAAGGGAAAGTCTAGCTTTTTAACAAACTAGTAAAATAACGTAAAGATAAATCTATAAGAGAAAAAAATAATATAAAAATAAATAATTTTTAATAAATTAAAATATTTTATTATTTTTTAAGTTTTAAAAAAGCTAAATAAAAAATTTTAAAAACATAAATTAATTTTAAATTATAAAAATAATAGTATTTATTTATCATTTAATTTTTTGTTCTATAAATATTTAATAAGAAATTTATCCTAATTAAGCTCAACTACAACACGTGTACAGCCGTGTGATGCGGGATGGAAAATGCAGCGATAATTGTTTATTGCACTATCATTATCCCTGGATGATTTGAAAACAGTGAAAAAATATTTAAAAAATATATTTTTTTATTAATATTTTTAGAATAAAAATATGGAAAATAAATTTTTTCGTGAAACTTAAAACTAACTGATAAGTTTGTTGAAAGTAAAAGGAAAATTCAAAAATGAAAACTAAAAGCTTATAAACTAATTAGTTAAATTTATAATGTATGACAAACTTAACTATTAAACAAGTTAATAAATATGAAATTACAAAAATAAAATAATTAAATACAGGACCAAAACTTGAAAGTTGGTAAGTATTTATTTTAAAATAACTATGAATTTTATATTTTATTCTATTTTATTGAGTAAATGTTAGTTAAAACGTAAAATTTTTAAAATAATCATGTATTAAATGATTTTTTTTATTAAATTTTATTATCTTTTAATTCTTTACTCGAAGTATCCTTAAATAATTAGTTGATAAATACTTATATAAATTTTTTTTATGTTTTTATTATTTTTTTAAAATTAAATAATGATACGTGAATAATTTGTTTAACATTAAGTAACTGCTATCAAGAATAGGTAGTAAAATCTTTAAAAATATCCAATAAGTATTATCATTTGATTTTAGAACTTTTGAGAAGTAAGATTTATCTAAGTTATGTGAAAAATAGTATAATACTCTAACCCTGATTGCATGCAACCAGTCTCAAAAGTCAAAATCAAGTCCGCTGCATATTATTTTCGCGGTTTTTTTAATTATAAAAAAATGAGTTTTTTTTTTTATATAAACTTACATATATATATATATATATATATATATATAATTTATCAGATGTTATTATTATAATTTTAAAAAATTTTCGTTTTAATAATTTTAATATTTTTTAAAAAATCGCTATTAACAATTTTAAAACTTTATTATTTTTTTATTTCTGCATCTATTTATAATAATTTTTAAATATAATATTTTTATAATTTTTTAAAACTATTTATATATATATAATTTTTTAATGCTATATATAAAAATAATAATTTTATTTTTGCGTTGATGTCATTACTATTACGAAAATATCTATTATGGCGAGGAAAGGTGAGGGAAAACGCGTAATAAATAAGGACGTCGTTGGATGGGTCATTTAGATTAAATTCCACAAACACTGAAACACACCTTCGAATACGTTTTCGCCAGTCAACGATGACTGCAACAATCTGCCACCAGTAAGTTTCTATAAATTTTTAGAGAAATTTTTATTAAAAAAATTATTAGTAAAATAATAATAATAATTTTTTAATAAAAAAAAGTTGTTTTAAATAAAATTTATTAATTTTATATCATATTTTTTTCTACCGATATTTCTATAAAATTTTATTCAAATGGACCGAAATTAAATTTTTGCCTAATTATCAACGTTCATGCATAATGGGCTTCCTTTCCATGTTCAAATCAGTAACTATCTTCGCTAGTCTTTTTCCTTTGGCTTTTAATTTTTTTATTATTTTAAAAATATTTGCCATTAACAAGTTTTGACTTTTATTTTTTTAAATTATTAATAAATTTTAAATTGCATATTTTATAATATTTTAAAAAATATCATATTTTAACATATATGATTTAAATGCGCTATAAAAAAATAATCCTCATCTTGTTTAAGCCGAGGATGGAAAGTGTCCAACTCTTATAAAATATATATAATTATTTAACTAAATAGTTTATAATAAATAAATAAGTAAAAAAGTAATATTCGATTTTAATGTTATATTAATATAATATTATATATCAATTTTAATCATTTGACACAGTTAATTGTACAATTAATTTTATTTAACGGATAATGAACTAGTTACATGTCTATAAATTTTTAACTATAAAAATTATAAACTTTCAACTTAGAAGTTATAAACTCATAAATTTTCACAGCTAATTTTACGAACTAAATCCCGCAAAAGAGCAGCGAGAACATCCAAAATCAAGGGAGGGGTGCAGACAATGACGTCCTTATTTATTACGACGTGTCCACTACGTTGCATGAATAATGCAGTTATGGTATATCAGCCTCACAAACCTTTATTTCCAGATAAGACCCTGTATTCCAGAGTTATTGTCCAAGTCAAGTGGCAATTCATGTAAGAAACCAATTTATTATTTTGTAGTTCATAAACGTATTGGGTGATTCAGGAAGAATGAGTCCAGTTTATGAATTTGTATTATTGCTTTGGTTTTCTCACCTTATGCCACTTCTCTTGGCTTCAGGGCACCAAGGAGAGTGCCCCACTTCGTTCAATTGTGGATATCTCGGCAATATCGGTTTCCCTTTTACTATAACACAACGCCCTCACTGTGGCTTATTTCCCATTCCAAATTGTGATGATCGTGATCTACATAAGCCCAAATCTATCCAACTAGACAATCAACGAAAACCGTTTTTGCTTTTTCAAGTTCTTCCGCGTATTTCTGATACTACTACAACTTTGCATTTAAGAGACAACACTCTCTATGAACTTCTTCAAAACAGAAGTTGTGAAGCTTTCACAAACAATTATACTCTTCCTCGCGCCTCTCAATTTGCTGCTTTTAGTCTACAATACAGTGCAACCCTGTTCAGGTGCAACCGTACCCGCCATGTCAAACCTGCAACAAAAATGAAAAATTATAAGTGTGATGACCGTGACTACGATCTCTACTACGGGCCTGAATTGACCGCCGATGATCCGTCTTTGAGTTCTTCCATTGCATGTACAAAGGTGCTCCTTCCAATTAAAGATGTGCCAGATGCTGAAGACCCATTTACTTTCGTAGCTTCTGATTTGTTCATGGAAGTAAAATTAACTATTGAATGTGTAAATTGTCACTATCAACGAGGGGGGCAGTGTCAACTTGACAGCAAACAGAGTTTCTACTGTGCCATCAGTTACGGTACGCGCTCTTCTGTAATTGTTTTTTTCTTACATCATAAAATAATGCCTGCGTGAATATTTGAGATATATTAAAGGGTTTAAAATAAATGATTATATGGTTCGATGGCTGTTGTTTTTAATTTGGTTAATTACTTGTGCAGAGAAAACCAGAAAGAAGATTGTGGTAACAGGTAGAACACTAAACACACCCAATTCAATTTTATCATTTTTGTTACAATCACACGCAGTCACAAATGCATTTGTGATTCTCTAAAACATACTTTTCTTTTGATCATACACTAGGCCACGGTTACCATTCAGGCACGAGTTAAAGTATTCCGCAGATTTATCTGTCACATTGGCTTTGGAGTCTAAAAACCAAAATTTAATCTGTTAATCAACCGAAAGATAGCCTATAAAAATCTTTGGTGACTTTTGTTCATATATACAGGTCACTAATCTAAACATTTTCCTTTTCATATTAAACAAATTATCCAGCTTTGACCTTGGTGGCTGCGGGAGTTGTAGTGCTGATGATCTTGGCTTGCTGCTTTAGGACAAAGATTTCCTCTCCCGCGTATCTTTTGTATTGGAGGAAGAATCGAACCCATGCAATTATTGAAGAGTTTTTGAAGGAACATGGACCTCTTCCTACGGGTAGGTACAGTTATTCAGAGGTTAAGAAAATGACCAACTCTTTCAAAAATAAATTAGGCCAAGGAGGTTACGGGTGTGTATTCAAAGGGAAGTTACATGATGGATGCCTTGTTGCTGTGAAGATTTTAAGCAAATCAGAAGATAATGGAGAAGAATTCATTAACGAAGTTGCAAGTATTAGTAGGACTTCACATGTTAACATTGTTAGACTTTTGGGATTCTGTTTCGACGGTTCTAAAAGGGCTTTAATATACGAGTTTATGCCAAATGGATCACTTGAGAAGTTCATATATGAAGAGAAGAATCCACTACAGGTTGCTCGCCAATTGGACTGCAACACATTGTATGATATTGCAATTGGCGTTGCTCGTGGATTAGAATACTTGCACAGAGGTTGTAACACTAGAATTTTGCATTTTGACATAAAACCTCACAACATATTACTAGATGAGGATTTTTGTCCAAAAATTTCAGATTTTGGACTTGCAAAAATATGCCCAAGAAAAGAAAGTTCAGTATCGATGTTTGGTACCAGAGGAACTGTAGGCTATATTGCCCCAGAGGTTTTTTCAAGAAATTTTGGTGCAGTATCACACAAGTCAGATGTTTACAGTTTCGGAATGATGGTCTTAGAAATGGTTGGGATAAGAAAGAATATTAAGCCTGAAGTAGACCACTCTAGTGAAATATATTTTCCTCATTGGATTTACAATCGTCTCGAATCAAATCAAGAGCTTTGTCTGCTGAGTATAAGAAATGAAAGTGATAACGAAAAGGCAAGAAAAATGACAATAGTGGGCTTATGGTGCATACAAACTATCCCTTCAAATCGACCAACCATAAGTAAAGTGCTGGAAATGTTAGAAGGTAGAGTTGAGTTGTTGCAAATGCCACCTAAACCCTTTTTTTCTCCTTCATCCTCCCCAGTCCATTTGTCATGTGAGACAGTTTGTGTGAATACTAAGATTTAGCCAACTATGTTGCAATATATTATATTTATTACTGTAATTTTATTTTATTTTTTTCTTCTAGTTTGACTTTGTAAATTCATCAGCATCTGCCTTGTAAGAAAGTAAAGACTTCAAACACTTCGTAACTTGTACCTTTCTTTGTTTAATATAAGCTCTTTTTATAGCTGTAGTCCTATACACCCTCATTCGATTAGAAACGTAAATCCTTCCTTTGCCAATGCTATAGTTCTTTAAGCTGTTTTTCACCCACTGATGAACCATATTCTAATATTGTTTTACATATGTTTTTAGCTAATGAAAATATTATATGGCATGAAAGAGTTGAGAAAGTGTCACAATGTCTATCATAGAATATAGTCAAGCTTGAACAATACTGAAAAAGTGAATTTCATTTACAAGAAACTACGTTTATGAAAAATTAAAGAAAAATCCAAAAAAAATTCTAAACTAGATATATCTTAAACCGCTAAAAAAATTCAAATAAAAAAATAATTTTAATAATTAAAAGAATAAGAGTATTTTGTTTTGATTTTTAAAAAAACTAAAAATAAGTGTATTGTTTGTTTTTAAAAAAAAAAATATGTTAAAAAATCCAAACAAACATGTTCTAAGTTTACTAAATTTATAATGGCAGTTCCACAACTTTTTTTTTTTAAATTTAGCTTTACTCTTTTGTAATTATTCGAGTTAGCTCGTACAAGTAAAACTGTGAAGAATTTGCAAAATAACTCTCAATTTGAGAAGATGTTTATTATTATTTTTATATTAAATATTACAAAAACATAATCTTGTTTTCATTATTTTTTATAATTTTTTAAAATTTAAAAAACAATTCATTATTTTTTTAGATAAAATATATTTTTATTATTATTCTTAGCGTACCAGACTATTTTTTCAACACTCGAAAATTTGAATCAGAGGTCAGAAAGTGGCAAGTTGGTCAAGTTTGTCAACTTGCCCATAGGAGGTCTCATTTGAAAAAAAAGATTTGAAGACACCAATCAGGAGAGATAAGGAAATAAGAAAAAAAATATCATTAAAAGATAAGTATATGTAAAAGAAGTTCACATTCCGTAGAAAACATGACTATTGTATAATAGAGGTGGTGTTTCATAATCTATTGTCTAGTAACTTAGTAAATGAATTGTGATAAACCCTTCTCATGATGAATGTAAGTAGACTCATTAATAACTTATTTTTATAATAACAATATAAATTTATTTGAATAAAAAATTAATATAATCTCTTTTTTAATTACGTAATATTTAATATACTTTTTAATTTTTTATATTATTTTAAAATTTATTTACAATAAATTATAATGAAGTAAAAAATTCGCTACTTTTTCTACATAAAATCTCACCATTTTATTTGAAATTTTTTTTATATGAATACCGCGTAAAATATTGTTTTCACTGATAAAGTAAAACATTAAATCACATTAAATTTTTCCATTCCAGCTTAATCTTTCCCCTCGAACAAATAGGCCACGTCCTCACATAATATTCTGCATAATTCTCTTTCCCAATCTTCAATGTCTTCCATTTAGAACTTGACAAGCCCCCAAAAATGAACCATATCAGCCTCTTATTTATCCTCTATTCTCCCTTCATTCATTCCTACATCCTCCTCTTCTATCTCCTCTTCATTACAATTACTTCCTACGCTGCAGATCCAAAATTCGATGCATGTCAACCCAAAATCTGTGGCAATAACCAAATTATAAGCTACCCGTTTTACATCGAAGGAGCACAGGAATCCTTCTGTGGGTACCCTGGTTTTGGCATCTCGTGTGATCCAAATGGCTTCCCAATTCTCAGTTTCTCTGATACCCAATACACCATCCACCAAATATTCTACCAAAATCAGTCACTATTAGTGTCCAATCCCGTGTTTTCAACCTTAAGACCAAACATCAGTCAAGGTTGTCTTCAACGTACCCAGAACCTCACTCTTCCCAATAACACATTCCATCTTGCTCCGAACCAAAAGGACGTGACATTGTTCTACGGTTGTGACTTACCGTCGCTTCCCAGAGAGCTGCAAGAGCACAAAATTGGGTGTTATGTAGAAAACGGAACGAGTTCGGTTCTGGCAATGTATAAGGAGGATAAAAATATAAGCTTAGTATCAAATAATTGCACGGGTGGGGTGGCGGATGCGACGGTGGAAGATGGAATAGGAGAGATTGAAGAGGCGCTGAGAAAAGGGTTCTTCTTACAGTGGACGGCAAGTGATTGCAGCGTGTGCAGCAGTACTGGAGGGAGGTGCGGATTCGATGCTGATATGTACAGTTTCAGGTGCTTTTGTACTGAGGGAGTTCATTCTGTCAAATGTGCTGAAGGTTAGTCCCTCCTCTTTCATGGCTCTGTGTAAAAGTTTATAGTGATTTATAGTGTCTGCAATAAGGGGAGTCATTTTGCTGATTTGACTCATTACCACCAATCCAATGTCATGTTTACTTGATTTAGTAACCCTCTTTAGTCCTGACTCTTTATCCGTAAGGACAATTTAAGTGCGTGTTATTGATGCTTTTACTGTGTTATTTAGTTAAAGCTAGTTTTATATCAGTAGTCTACTGAATAAATGTTAAAGCAAAACTTCAATCTCATTTGAAAAATAACATACAACATACCTGTAATCTTACACTTATATAAATTAGAATGAGAATAAACATGAGTATGAAAGTAAATGTGTATTTTCTTCCATCTAGTCAGCAAATCTTGCATAACTGTTTTGAATACAACTATGCAAAGTGATTTAAGTGGTTTCAGTTAGTTGTGTTTATTAAACTTACATAATTGCAACCGCTGTGTGTTAAGAAGCGTTCATTTGAAGCCCATGATTTGAACTAGACGTTTATTTTCACGAGTTCTCATAGGGAGAGTACCGGCAATTGTGGAGGAGACAGAGAGAGGTGCCCAGAAATTTGAAGCTCTGTGATTGTGATACGGGCAGGTAAATGAAGATGAGGCATTCTTTTGTACGCGTTATTCTCTCTGCCCTCGTTGACTAGTCTGAGTGTGAAACCAACCGCTTAAAACGACCTCTCCATTCTTTAAACTTGTCTTATTCGTAGACCCTTTCAACGTCTCTTTAAACTTCACTATTTCAACCGCACAGCCCCACTTAATTTCCCGTCCCATTTTTCAATCTTCACTGCGATGCACACAAGTTTTTCAATGTTTCTTTATGATTTGCCCTCTCATACACAGTTTAACAACCCTCCAAAACCAAGAGAAAATTCAGATGAAGGGAATAAGTTCAGAATTATTCACACAAGATTTCATGAAATTGGTCTAATTTATTAAATACATTTGTAATAAAAGTTATCATACTTATTATGAATTTTATGATAATTAATAGATTAGACTTTCTTTTACAATTTGTTTTTTTATATCACAACACTTGATTGGATAGTGAACCGTGATCACACAATTCACATTGTGAAATTAAATAAGTATATAAAGTATTAATCGTAATATGTTAAGATTTACACTTTAATTCACATTAATTAATTATAAATATTTAAACATAAACAAATAAATTACTTATATTAATTATTAAGTTTACTTATTTACTTTATCTATACATGAATTCATATGTTTTTATCCACAAAACAAAATAACAATTAATTTTAGTTTACAAAGAATTATCAAATAATTCTAACTTTATCTGACAATATTAATTATATAATTTTAATTAAAAATTAATTTTTAAAATGACTCTTATCCTAATGACTAATTCTATTATGTGATCATATTTTAAAATATACATAAGTCATGATGTAATATATGAAAACGACTTTATCATCTTAGAGTCAAATAATATTGAATTATTATAGTTGTTATATAATTTATTAATATAAAATTTTCAATAATTACAAATATTGTTAACTTTATTGACTAGTTATTAAGATAAAGTGTGCAACAAAAAAATGACATGCAACAATGATCTAAAAGTTAAACAATTTTTGTTAAATACCTTAAAGTTATAGAAATTACACGATCTTTCAAAAGACCATTGTACTTTAGCTTTAAATAGTATCACCAATAGTGATTTCAACAATATTAAACTCAAAATTTAATCATGATAATGAATTATAAATAATATTAACCACCGTTGTAGTAATTCCAATGACATTGTACTCAAAATTACAACTATGGGCAGGTACAATGACTTTGATAGTATTAATTTTTAAATTTAAAATTTATATAATAAATATGCATGCATATATAAGACAAAATTTATTATTTTATTATCTAATTTAAAGTTCAAATTCAATTTTATCTTCCAATTTTATTTTGATTAATTTTAGTCTTCTAACTTTTGAATAAGTTTCACATAAGTCATTTATGTTAAAAATATTAACTCTTGATATTTTTTTTTTTGCCACCTGTTAGGCATTGTTCATCATCTCCTTTCTTAGGTCTCCATATACTCTTCATCTTCTTTTTTCTCAAGGTTTTAACTTTTTCCCTCACCTCTTCTTCCTTGTTTTTCCTTTTTTCCATACAATCATCCAACATGCTTTTTACCAACTTCTTCCCTTTTTTTTACTCTTGTTCATGTTCAAGCTTTCAATAAGCAACTTCCTATAAGCATATTTGGATGGAAACTTACAACTGAGTTTTCTTTATCTTTAACCCTTCAACAAGCATATATTGAGCATAATTGAAGTTAATTGACTACCAATTTAGTATGGATTTATCTAGTGGTGTTTACAATGAAAAAAAAGAATCAAATACTTAGATTAACTTTGTGGTATGATGTTGGTGAAGCATATATTAGGTGTTTGTATGGGAAAAGAGAGAAAAGAAAAAAAGAGAAGAGGTGGAGAAAAAAGTTAAAACTTTATGGAAGAAAAAGATAAACTAAGTATAAAAACTTAAGAAAGAAGATGATAAATATTTATAAAAAAAATTGTTTTCTTTTTTTCACTACCCCACCCCCACCCCCACCCCCACACCCTCAACCTTAACCCACCCCTTCCCCTTTTCTACTACCCCACTCCACACTCCTATCACTAGTCCTTCTATGCTATCCCACCCCAATCCTTTCATTCTTGTTGTCCAACAGCACACATCCTCTCTTACCTTCGTCCCTTGATGTTGGTTATTATAAATTTTTTTTTAGGGAAAATTTGATGGTACTTGAAAGGAGGAAGAGGAAAGGAAAGGAAGAGAAAGGGTTGGGATAAAGTAATAAGGAAGGAGAAAGAAAAGAAATTTCCTTTAAATATTTAAAATTTATTTATAAATATTAACTTTAAATAATAAAAATTTAGATAACATATTATATAATGTGATAATATTAATTCTTTATAATCAGTTTAACATTTAATAAAAAAAATTAACAACAAAAATTAAATCTTAATTTTTTATTATTTTAAAAATTAAATTATAACACAAAATTTTATAAAAAATTATTATAAAATATACTGTATTTACGTAACTAATCACATATTTAAGTCTTCTATCATAAAAACATATTTAAATAATTCAAATAAAATATACAGTACTTAAAGTTGTTAACAAAGAGGTTATTATTGGTCACGTAAGAGGCCAATGTCAACTTCACAGTAAAGGAAATTTCTGCTGTGCTAAAGGCATGCACAAATACCTTACATTTTGCAGACATAGTATACAGTGTGTATATACTAGGAATTAGCCAAAAGTAGGCGATCAAGAAATTCGGATAAAATCAAAAAACAAATTAAGTAGTTGTTCTATGTCCATGTTTTATCGACTCTCCCACGAGTAATTTCAACCATTGTTTTCGTTTCAAATAATTTTAATCAAAGCAGTTGCTAACTTTTAACATATAAACATTTATAACATGTTATATTATTAATTTATTTACGAGTCAATAATATACCAATTCACGTTAACTATTACCTTATTTATATATAAAATATTACAAAAATATAATCTTGTTTTCATTATTTTTTAAATTAAAAAACAATGCATTAATTGTTTTTAGATAAAATATATGTTTATCATTTTTAGCCATAGTGCCACTTAATTTCCATAATTTTGTTTCCCTTCTCACACAAATAGCCTTTAGAATGCACTCTCTCTTTGGATATGGATCTCCTCTAGTTGTGGCAAACATTCAGTTTCATTTTAATTCAAGCCAAAATAAATTAAGAAAATACAAAAAATAACAAAAGTTTTTTGCACATAATTAACTTAAACGAATTTTGAAGAAATAGAGACTGGTTATGAGAGACAATAGGATTAAGGATGAATGAAAATAAAGAGAGCATATGATATAAGAATGATAATAGAGGAAGAAGAGAGTGGAGAGTTGGATATAAAAGAAAGAGAGAGATATGTATGAGGTGAAATGAAAGTAAAAGAGGAGAAGAGTGAGAAAGAAGTGAAGGAAAGAGAGAGTTAAGAGAGGAATTAAATACGAAAAGAAAGAAGATTGAATATAGAAGTTAAAGAAAGTTAAATATAGAGATTGAGAAGTAAGTATTAAGCATGAAGAAAAAATTGAAAGAGAATGGACATCTTTTAAGTTTGGACTTAACAAACTTTGTTTAAGCTAATTTTACACAAAATTTTTATTACTTAAACAAAGCTTATTTTTATTCAAACAAAAATTAAAATAGGATGACTTGTCCCGAATCACAGTCCCTCTCTAATGTTATATAAAATAGACGCAGATCGCATGGAGTTTTGGCAAGAACTGTATGCTGCAGCTTCTTGCTCGCTTAAACGAGTTTTTCTCGCTTAAGTAAATTTTAGCAAAAAGTGATTTTAACCTAAGCCAAAAATAATTCGCTTAAGTTAATTTCGCTTAAATAAAAAAAATTCGCTTAAGCAAAAGCAAAAATACTCAGATCAAAAGAAGATGTTTCTTTCTCTTCTGTTATTTCAGCTCCCTCTCTTTCACCCACCCATTCTACTCTTCCTCCTCTCCTCTCTTTCTTTCCCTCCCACTCAACTCCTCCTCCTTTCCTTCTCACCTAATAATTCTCAATTCTTTCCCCGCTTCCACTTAACCCCTCCCATTTCTCTCTCTTTCCAATTCAGCCATTCTCTTCCTTCTTTCCTCTCACTTAATCCTTTCTTCCCTCCCCTTCCCCATCTCTTTTTCCTTTAGCCCAACTCAGTCTCATTTTTCATCATCTTCATCTATCTCTCTTCCCCTCTCTTCCCCTTCACCCCTACTCAACCTCATCCTCTTCTCTCCTCATTCAACCCTTTTCTCTTCTCACTATTAGCCTTCTTTCGCTCTTCTTCTCTTTTGTCTTCTCTCCTCATTCAACCCTTTTCTCTTCTCACTATTAGCCTTCTTTCGCTCTTCTTCTCTTTTGTGTTCTTATTCCCATCTCCCTCTCAGTCTCTCTTTTTCTTTTTTTCTGATTTTTTTGTCATTCTTATTAAATTCCCTTAAATGAATTTTTCTGATTCAAACAATTTTTTTAAACTTAAACTAAAATCACTTTTTGTTAAAATTTGGTTAACTTAAAGAGAAATTGCTGTCTACAATTCCAGCCAAAAAGTCTTTAGAATTCCAAAAATGTGTATTGTGAAGAAAGAGTAATAAGCACGTTGGGGATGGTCATTCAGATTAAATTCCACAGACACTGAAATAAACCTTCTAATACGTTTTTCGCTGGTCTTCGCAGTCAACAATGATTGCAACCGCCACTGAGCGTAATCAAAACCACTGCTTGCTTTGTTGTAACTGCTTCCTTCATGTATAATTTATACAGTTCGGAAAACAAAGTGCAACGAACTTGGATTGGAGCAGAACACATTCGTAAATATATTTTTATGATAAAATTTATTGAAAATTAAAAAAATATAAAAATATTTATTAATTTAAAAATGAAAAAAAAGGTGAAAGACATTCTATTTCTATAGTTTTCAGTCAATGTTAGTCAACAGTGAAAGAATGTGAAATAGAATGTATCAGAGATGCTGTTGCCCTCGTTGCTCTTACTCATAAAGGGGTTGCTTTCTGTTCTATGCTGCATAGAATGCATTTATTGTTTTCTAAAAATATCTCCATACTTTTTATCTTTCCTTCACAACTCTTGAGATTCGTAATGGTTCCCCTTTCCATGTTCAAATCAGTTATTATCTTCGCCAGTATTCTGCTTCTCGCCTCAGCTGAGGATGGAAAGTGCCCCCCATCTTTCGACTGTGGTTTTCTTGGACTCATCAAATTCCCTTTCACAAGCACACTGCGACCACACTGCGGCGTATTGCCTATACGTGGCTGTGAAGATTATAATGCTTACGCTCCCAAAACCATCCAACTCATTAAAAGCTCAACATCAACATCCTACCCTGTTCTACAGGTTGAACCTCGTACCATAGTGATCAGAGATGATTATCAATATAAAAATATCCGAAACAGAAGTTGCAAAGCCTTCAGCAACAACATTACTCTTCCACACACCTCTCCTTTGGCTTCTTTCTACATCAAATATAATATCACTATCTTCAGATGCAATCACTCCCTCAATATCCCCGTTCCCAAAATTTTTAATAAATATTCGACCTGTTCTGAATACAATATCTACTATGGCCCTGCCAATGCTGAAATGCCTCGGGGCTACCAGCGGCCCAGCTCTCTAGCACCATGTTCCACAATTCAGCATGCCGTAGTAGATAAGTGTAGTGACGACCCCTTTCAATGTCTGTCGGGTGATACAGCTATCGAATTACAATTATCTGAAGATTGTGAAGAGTGTCTTGGTCATAGAAGAGGCCAATGTCAACTTGACAGTGAAGGAAAATTCTACTGCGCCAAAGGTATGCACAAATACCTTACATTTTGCAGACATACACATCCAGTATGTAGTATAAAATTAGCATGATACTAGGAATTAGCCAAAGGTAAGCGATCTCCGAAAGTCGGGTAAAATCAGAAAACAAATTAAGCAGTGGCCCTGTATCCATGCTTTTTTTACTCTCCCATGAGTAATTTTGACGATTGTGTTCGTTTCAAAAATTTTTAATCAAAACAGTTGCTTACTGTTCTCTAACTTTTGCAGGGAGTAGAACTAGAAGCTGGGTTGTGAAAGTGGAACTAGGACTCGGACTTGGTAATGTATTTAGATTAATTTGCATATCTTTTCAGCAAGAATGGCCCACGTTCTGCATTGCAAAGTCTTCAACTTAACAACAAAGCAGTTTAGAAGTTAGGCGTGATGACACTAAAGTATTAATAAATGGAGCAAAACATTAACTTCACTTAAAGCCTTAGCCAACGTAAGATCAAAATCGGCAACCTAGTTGCCAAGTTCCGGCTTTCTTATATCTTAGCTTAACAGATTTTGCTTGCGATCATTATTTATTGCCTTTAAATTCTTTAGTCAAAAGATACTCGATGTTTATTCTATTTTTCTGTGTAGCATTACTTTCTCATCCTTTCAAATTTATCGTTTTAATTTGAATAATCTCTTCAGCTGTTACAGTTGCTCTATTACTAGTAATGGTCAGAATCTACTATACAAGATGGAAAAAGAAAAATCCAACCAATCAACGGATCGAGGTTTTTCTTAAAAGATATGGACCTCTTCAAATCAAGAAATTTGGTTATTCTGAGATAAAGAAAGTGACCAACTCCTTCAAAAACAAATTAGGCCAAGGGGGGTTTGGTAGTGTTTACAAAGGACAATTACAGGATGGACGTTACGTTGCAGTGAAGGTTCTAAGTGAATTGAAAGATGATGGTGAGGACTTCATCAATGAAGTTGCAACTATCAGCAGAACTTCTCATATTAACATCGTTTCTCTTCTGGGCTTCTGTTTCGAAGGCTCTAAACGAGCTTTAGTTTATGAGTTCATGTCTAATGGATCACTTGAGAAGTTTATCTTCGAAGGAAGTGTCCTAATGACAGATTGTCAGTTAGACTGCCAAATGTTGTACCATATTGCAATTGGTGTTGCTCGAGGACTAGAATATCTGCATAAAGGCTGCAACACTAGAATTTTGCATTTTGACATAAAACCTCACAACATTCTCTTGGATGAGAATTTCAACCCCAAGATTTCAGATTTTGGACTTGCAAAAATTTGTACAAGAAAAGAAAGTGCTGTATCAATATTTGGCGCTAGAGGAACTGCAGGCTACATTGCCCCCGAGGTGTTTTCAAGGAATTTTGGTACAGTATCACATAAGTCTGATGTTTACAGTTATGGAATGATGATCTTAGACATGGTGGGTACGAGAAAGAATGTTAAGGCTCAAGTAGACCATTCGAGCGAAATATATTTTCCTCATTGGATTTACAAGCATCTTGAATCCAATCAAGAGCTTGGTCTACGAATTATAAGAAATGAAAATGATAGTGAAAAGGTGAGAAAAATGACAATGGTGGGTCTATGGTGCATCCAAACAGATCCTTCGACTCGACCAAACATTACTAAAGTGGTCGAAATGTTAGAAGGTACAGTTGAATTGTTACCAATGCCACCTAAACCTTTTTTATCTCCTTCAACCTTTCCGGTTGATTCATCGTGTGAATCAAGCATTGTAGCTTCTCACTCGTGACGCTACTAAAATGCAATATATGTTGTAGTATCTCACATTTATAATATAATCTTCTGGTTATTTGGTTACTTCTATTAAAACTCACAAATTATATCTATAAAATAAATTTAAAATTATTTAATATATCCGTTCATGTAAAAAAAAATAAGTATGATATATGTTTTTAAAATATATCAAAATAATGACCTTTTAATCATATATTTTTCAAAAAATTTTGATAAAAATAATTAGGATAATGTAATTATAATTCAATAATTAAATTCAAAAAAAAATAAGATCAACCTACGTATATAAATTGAATACAAATTATCTAACAAGAACATAAAGATATTATTAAAAAGAAACATTTGTAAGAATATTCGTAAAATGATAGCATTTTTAAGAATTATTTTTATTTTTATTATTTAAACCTTTTATATTTAAAATAATTAGTGTTTAATATAGAAAAAAGTGAAAACAAAATTTTTAAGATATTTAGATATTTGACCATCTATATGAACTCAAATTTTTTTTGTTCTCTAGTGTTCATTTATCGTGTTAAGTTATATAATTAAATTTAATTTTAATGATTAAATTTAAGAATTTAGAATTAATATTTTATTGAACATAAAATATTATTATATTAAAGTTTAGTAAATATTTAAAAAAACATTTAAACTCAATTATAAAAATATTTAATAAAACCAATAAAAAATTGTTTTTAACTCAAGCACTCTGTCTAGGAAAAAAAATGACAAATAATAACTAGTGTTTAGAAAGTTTATTAAAAAATACATTTAATTAATTTTTTTTCATATTTTTTTAATAACAATAAAATATTATTTTTAATTCTTTAACTAAGTATCCAAAATTACTTTGGAAGAATAAAAAGCAATAAAAAAAAGAAGATCCGTTGAGAGAAACAGAGACAACTGAAGGATCGGAGAAAACAGAAGCATTTAATGCCCGTAAAAAAAGAGTAGACAACACGTGCAAGTAAGTCCAAAAACATAATCAAGGCGATCACCGATCCTTAATAACTATTAGCTCTGTTATTATTTATCAATTCTAAGAGTTTAGAAAAACTAATTCTTATTTGTTTTATATATATATATATATATATATATATATATATATAATGATAAAAATTTTAATTATATTAGTAATTTAAATTTATTTAATTAAGATGTAATTTGAATTTGTAAGTAAAAAAAAATTATAATATTATGTTAATAATTTAATTTTTATTTTAAATATGATAATAATTTGTATGTAAATTTAAATTAGATTTAGTTTGATTATGTTAATAAAATTAATGAAAGTAAATTCAAAAAACAGATTAAAATTGTATTATATCAAATTTTTATAAGTTATGACATGTACCAAAAGTTTCGTACTATTTATAATAAAATTTAATTTTATCAATTATATTGTGAAATTATATATCATAATCGAGTTATTTTATATTTTTTATTGTAAATTTTATTTTTTAAAAATTAATATTTTTGTATTTTAATGAAACTATTGACACATGCACTAATACATTAAAATAAGAAAATAATTTAAAAAATAATAAATTATTGTCAAACAATTATCTTTTTCTTATAACTTCTCTTTTTATCATTTGTTGGAGTTAGCTAGTACATTAAGCAACTCATGCAAATAGAATTGTAAAGAATTTACAAAATAATTTCCAATTTGAGAAGATATTTATTATTATTTTTAGGTTAAAGTTAAACCTAATAAGTTAATATGTTTAAATCATTAGACATATTTTAAATAAAATTAACAATTCAGATATTTTATATTTATTTAATAATATTAATTTTTATATATTTATGAATTAATCTTTTATAAAACTTTATAAAATTACTTTTTGAACTTTTAAAATTTATTATTTAAAATATTTATAGGATTGTATTGATACAATTTTTCTATATTTTTTACTTAATTTTGTACATATTTAAAAATAAAAATTTTTATATGCACTGATATAGCTTCAATTTATAATAAAAATAACTTTTAAATTAATAAAACGTTTAATGTCACTTTAAATCTTTAGCATATCTTCTCATTAAACCCTAATATATATCGTTTATAATTTTTAGAATTAAAACTTTTACCTTCACTCTCATATTCTCAATTTATCATAAAAAATAATTTTTGTATTAATAAATTATTCAGCGTCATCTTAGATTTTTCTCATGCCTTTCCTGCATACTAGTTATATATGCTTAGTATAATATATGTAAAATTTGCTTAAATCATTTTAACCTCACTCAAGGGAAAGTTACAAAAAAAATGGCTTATAGGATAAATATCACTAAAGCAAAAATATTATTAGCTTAGTGAAATTTAATTAACTTAAGTGAATTATAGACACACAAATTCTGCAATTTTAGCTTAAACAAAAAATAATAGTTTTAATAAAAATTGACAAAACTTTATATAATTATTATTATATAAAATTAGCTTAAGCCAATATTTATAGAAAAAAATTTCTTGTATTTTTTAGTATTCAATTACATATATTTAGTCATTACACTTATTTTGATTTAGCCAATTTATTCATTACTAAAAAAATTGAAATAAATATATGATATTTTTAAATTTAATTGATTTCACTTTCAAAAATCAGAATTTAAAGTATGACAGTGTAAATAAAGTATAGTTACTTAAGTTGTTGAATTTGGAAAATAAGTTTGTATGCAATAAAAAAATAAGGAACATTTGAATAAAAATTCTATAATATTATTCTAAGTTAAAATTATTTAATTACATTCGATCTTTTATTTTAAATATATTTTTTTTAACTTTTAACCTTAAATTTCAACTATCATAATTAGATTTATCGATTTAGTTATTAGAAACACAAAAGAATTATTTGAACTAATTTTAGAAACAAAAATAGAAGAATAAGTTTAAAATATCAAGGTTAACATTCCATAAATGAAACTTACTTTCACATTGTTATAATTATATTTTAAATGAATATTTACAATAAAAAATATTTTAAAAACTTATTTTAAATATATAATATTTTTATATCTTTAACTTATAAAATTTATTAAAAATTAAAACATCAACACTACAACTTTTAAAATATAAACTGTTATAGCATGTTATCTTATTAATTTACTTACAAGTGAATAATACACCAATTCACGTTAGCTATCACCTTATTTTTATATAAAATGTTGCAAAAATATAACCTTGTTTTCATTATTTTTTTATACTTTATTTAAATTAAAAAACAATGCATTAATTTTTTTTAGATAAAATATATGTTTATCGTTTTTGAGCCGTGCCACTTAATTTCCGTAATTTTGTTTCACTTTAGGCCCAAAAATGAGATACACCCTTGGGAACGCACTCTCTCTTTAGCTTCGTTGACTAGTCACAGTGAAGCAAACTGACATATGGTATATAAAGTGAAATGCGTATCGTGGACAATTTAAAACACTGTCGTATACTGTTTTAAGTGTCGTCTTTACGATTACGAAAATATGTATCGTGAGAAAAGGGTTGAGGGACAACCAGTAATAAGCACGTTCAGATTAAATTCCACAAACACTGAAATACACCTTCCCATACGTTTTCGCTAGTCTTTCGCAGTCAACAATGATTGCAACAGCCACTGAGCGTAATCAAAACCAGTGCTTGCTTTCCGATCATGTAACGGCTTCCTTACTCGCCTCACAATTATCAACCTTCATGTATAATGCCCGCCCTTTCCATGTTCAAATCAGTAATTATCTTCGCCAGTATTCTGCTTCTCGTCTCAGCTGAGGATGGAAAGTGCCCACCATCTTTCGACTGTGGGTTTCTTGGACTCATCAAATTCCCTTTCACAAGCACACTGCGACCACACTGCGGCGTTTTGCCTATTCGTGGCTGTGAAGAACATAATGCATACGCTCCCAAAACCATCCAACTCATTAACAGCTCAACATCAACATCGTACCCTGTTCTACAGGTTGAACCTCGTACCATAAAGATCAGAGATTATTATCAACATAACAATATCCGAAACAGAAGTTGCAAAGCCTTCAGCAACAATATTACTCTTCCACACACCTCTCCTTTGGCTTCTTTCTACATCAAATATAATATCACTATCTTCAGATGCAATCACTCCCTCAATATCCCCGTTCCCAAAAATTTTTATAAATATTCGACCTGTTCTGAATACAATATCTACTATGGGCCTGCCAATACTGAAATGCCTCGGGGCTACAAGTGGCCCAGCTCTCTAGCACCATGTTCAACAGTTCAGCATGCCGTAATAGATAAGTGTAGTGACGACCCCTTTCAATGTATGTCGGGTCATACAGCTATCGAAGTACAATTATCTGAAGATTGTGAAGAGTGTCTTGGTCAAAGAAGAGGCCAATGTCAACTTGACAGTGAAGGAAAATTCTATTGCGCCAAAGGTATGCACAAATACCTTACATTTCAAACGTAGGTGATCTACAAAAGTCGGGTAAAATAAAAAAACAAAATAAGCAGCTGCTCTGTATCCATGTTTTTTTACTCCACGAGTAATTTTGTCGATTGTTTTCGTTTAAAATAATTTTAATCAAAACAGCTGCTAACTGTTCTCTAACTTGTGCAGGGAGTAGAAGCTGGGTTGTGAAAATGGTACTAGGACTCGTCGGACTAGGTAATGTATTTAGATTAATTTCCATGTCTTTTCCCGCATCAATGGCCCAGGTTCTGCAATGCAAAGGCTTTAACTTAACAGAGCAGTTTCAAAGTTAGGCGTTATGAAACTAAAGCATTAAATGGAGCAAAACATTAGCAACTTCACTTAAAAGCCTTAGCCAACTTAAGATCAAAATTGACAACCTAGTTGCCAAGTTCAGGCTTTGTTTTATCTTAGCTTAACAGATTTTCCTTGCGATCATTACTTATTGCCTTTAAATTCTTTAGCCAAAAAGATAATCAATGTTTATTCTATTTTTCTGTATAGCGTTCTTACTCATCCTTATAAAACAATCGTTCTAATTTGAATAATTTCTCTGGCTGTTACAGCTGCTCTATTACTAGTAATGATCAAAATCTTTTATACAAGAAGGAAAAAGAAAAATCCAACCAATCAACGGATTGAGATTTTTTTGGAAAGATATGGACCCCTTCAAACCAAGAGATATGGTTATTCTGAGATAAAGAAAGTGACCAACTCCTTCAGAAACAAATTAGGCCAAGGGGGTTTCGGTAGTGTTTACAAAGGACAATTACAGGATGGACGCTATGTAGCAGTGAAAGTCCTAAATGAGTTGAAAGATGATGGCGAGGACTTCATCAATGAAGTTGCAACTATCAGCAGAACTTCTCATATTAACATCGTTTCTCTTCTGGGCTTCTGTTTCGAAGGCTCTAAACGAGCTTTAGTTTATGAGTTCATGTCTAATGGATCACTTGAGAAGTTTATCTTTGAAGGAAGTGTCCTAATGACAGATTGTCAGTTAGACTGCCAAATGTTGTACCATATTGCAATTGGTGTTGCTCGAGGACTAGAATATCTGCATAAAGGCTGCAACACTAGAATTTTGCATTTTGACATAAAACCTCACAACATTCTCTTGGATGAGAATTTCAACCCCAAGATTTCAGATTTTGGACTTGCAAAAATTTGTACAAGAAAAGAAAGTGCTATATCAATATTTGGCGCTAGAGGAACTGCAGGCTACATTGCCCCAGAGGTGTTTTCAAGGAATTTTGGTACAGTATCACATAAGTCTGATGTTTACAGTTATGGAATGATGATCTTAGACATGGTGGGTACGAGAAAGAATGTTAAGGCTCAAGTAGACCATTCGAGCGAAATATATTTTCCTCATTGGATTTACAAGCATCTTGAATCCAATCAAGAGCTTGGTCTACGAATTATAAGAAATGAAAATGATAGTGAAAAGGTGAGAAAAATGACAATGGTGGGTCTATGGTGCATACAAACCGATCCTTCGACTCGACCAAACATTACTAAAGTGGTAGAAATGTTAGAAGGTACAGTTGAATTGTTACCAATGCCACCTAAACCTTTTTTATCTTCTCCTTCAGCATTTCCGGTTGATTCATCGTCTGAATCAAGCATTGTAGCTTGTCACTCATGACGCTACTAAAATGCAATATATGTTGTAGTATCTCACATTTATAATATAATCTTCTGGTTATTTGGTTACTTCTATTAAAACTAACAAATCATGTCTATAAAATTTTAAATAAATTTCCGTTCATGTAAAAAAAAAATATAAGTATGATATATGTTTTTAAAATATATCAAAATAATGACATTTTAATCATATATTTAGAAGTATTTAATTTTAAAAAATTTGATAAAAATAATCAGGATAATATAATTATAATTCAACAATTAGATTCAAAAAAATAAGATCAACCTACGTATATAAATTGAATACAAATTATCTAACAAGAACATTTAAAGATATTATTAAAAAGAAGCATTTGTAAGAATATCCGTAAAATGATAGCGTTTTTAAGAATTATTGTTATTATTTTTATTATTTAAACTTTTTATATTTAAAATAATTATTGTTTAATATAGAAAAAAGTGAAAACAAAATTTTTAAGATATTTAGATATTTGACCATCTATATGAACTCAATTTTTTTTTCTCTAGTGTTCATTTATCGTGTTAAGTTATATAATTAAATTTAATTTTAATAATTAAATTTAAGAATTTAGAATTAATATTTTATTTTCAATAAAATATTATTATATTAAAGTATAATAAATATTTAAAAAACATTTAAACTCAATTATAAAAATAATTAATAAAACCAATAGAAAATTATTTTTAACTCAAGCACTCTGTCTAGGAAAAAAATGACAAATGATAACTAGTGTTTAGAAAGTTTATTAAAAAAATACATTCAATTAATTTTTTTTCATAGTTTTTAATAACAATGAAATATTCTTTTTAATTCTTTAACTAGTATCCAAAATTATTTTGGAAGAATAAAAAACAACAGCAAGAAGAAGATCTGTTGAGAAAAACAGCGACAACCGAAGGATCGGAGAAAACAGAAGCATTTAATGCATCGTTAAAAAAAAGTAGACAACACGTGCAAGTAAGTCCAAAAACATAATCAAGGCCATCACCGATCCATAATAACTATTAGCTATTTAGCTCTGTTATTATTTATCAATTTTAAGAGTTTAGAAAAACTAATTCTTATTTGTTATATATATATATATATATAATCAATAAAATAAATTACAAATTTAATAATTAAATTTATGGTATATTTAATTTCTTTTCTCCTGAATAAATAAATAGTAACAAGAAGTAGTAATTTAAGTCAGCAGATGCAATACTCCAATAATTGTTTGTTTCGATTAAAATTAAATTAAATTAATTTTAAAACGTTAAATTAATTTAAACTATATATTTTTTTTACTGAAAAACATTTTTTTATTTAAAATGTATAATTAATTTTATAACTTTAAAATAAATAAACCCTAAATATTTTTGTAATATTTCCTTTTCTTAATCATATTGGAATTTATTAAACGAAAAAAATATTATCTTCTGTTATTTTTTCTTTTTTCTGTGAATAAATATATTTATTTTTTGTTTAATGTTATATTTTATGAAGTAGCATTAGAAATTTGTAAAAATAAGTTATATTAAGTCTCGACATTAAACGGTACGAAAATAAAAAGGTATTATTATTTTAAGAGAAGAGTTAATTATACAATGAAATTATCGTATTTTTTAAAATTAAGAAACAAGAAAAGAAAAAGAAAATAAAATAACAAGATAAATAATATAATAAAAATTATTATTATAAGAACATCATAAGAATAATTTGAAGTTTTTTTAATTTTATATGTTTATAATTTTTTTAATCATTAAATAACAATTGTTACACATTTTAAAGATAATATATATATATATATGCATTAATTTGTTATGTTTAAATTTTAAAATTCAATTGAAACAATTAATAATAATAATAATAATATATTATTATAATAATATTTTATTTTTAATAGCATATTATCAATTACTTAAATTTAACTCTAAAAATAAATTTATTATTTATTTTATAAAATAATAAAAAATATAAAAATATGTCAATGTGCAGCAAAACTCGTTTTATAACTCTTATTGCAACCTTATAATAATTATCTTTAAAATCAGAGCCATGACAAGGTTAAGCATTTGAAAGAACAGGAAGGACACAACCGTCTTTCCAGATCAACGTAACAGTAAAAAGTTGCATATTATAGTCTTTTGAGGTACAGCAACGTGTCAGTGTAGCCAAACAACCAATACGAAGCATAGCATTAACGCCGCATGCTTATTTCAGTTAAGCTCTCTGTTTTTAACCATAATTATTACACCCTCCTTATTACCGTTAAGCCCTTCCGTTTTCTCATTAATTCCACATTTAACACTCTGCATTTACACACCCACGCTCTCACTCTTCTCACTTCTTCCTCTCTCGCTCTTTCTCTTGCATCTGCAGAGCAACAATGGCCACCACAAGCCTCTCTCGCCTCATTGTTCTCGTTATGTTTTTCCATTTTCTTCTTCTACTTCGAGGTTCCGCCAACCCGGATTTTGAAGCTCTCGTGGCCTTCAAAATCGCTTCAGACACATCAAAGAGGCTCACAACATGGAACACAAGCACCAACCCATGTGCCTGGACCGGCGTCTCATGCATCAGAGACAGAGTCTCGCGACTCGTTCTCGAAAACCTCGACCTCCAAGGCTCCATTCACCCCTTAACTACTCTAACTCAGCTACGGGTTCTGAGCCTTAAGGGGAATCGTTTTTCCGGTCCCGTTCCCAACCTCTCCAACTTCACCGCTCTGAAGCTTCTCTTCTTGTCTCATAACGACTTTTCCGGCGAGTTCCCGGCGACCGTCACGTCGCTCTTCCGCTTGTGCCGTCTCGATCTTTCCCACAACAACTTCTCCGGCGAGATTCCGGCGACGGTCAACCAGTTGACCCACCTCCTCACTCTCCGTCTCGACGAGAACAGATTCTCCGGCCACATTCCCGACGTGAACCTTCCCAGCTTGCAAGACTTTAACGTCTCCGGCAACCGCCTCTCCGGCGACATACCCAAGTCCTTGTCGGGCTTCCCCGAATCCTCGTTCGGGCAAAACCCGTTTCTCTGCGGAGCCCCAATGCATAAATGCGTGTCTGGGTCCAACCCAACTCAACCTGGATCCGAGGGTGCCATTGCTTCGCCATTGTTGCCGCGCGGCAACACCCCAACAACAACGGTTTCATCTTCGCCAAGCTCAATGCCGAGAACAACATCATCGAGTAATAAAGGCCACGAAAACGGCGGTTCGAAAATAAGTCCGGTGGCTCTTATAGCCATCATAGTCGGCGATGTTCTGGTCCTCGCCGTAGTGTCTCTGCTTCTGTATTGCTACTTCTGGAGAAACTACTCTGCGAAGTTGAAGGAGGGAAAAGGATCAAAGCTGTTTGAGAGCGAAAAGATAGTTTATTCGTCGAGTCCATACCCTGCTCAAGGAGGGTTTGAGAGGGGTCGAATGGTGTTCTTCGAAGGGGAGAAGAGGTTTGAACTGGAGGACTTGCTTCGAGCTTCCGCAGAAATGCTTGGGAAAGGAGGGTTTGGAACCGCATACAAAGCGGTGCTCGATGATGGCAATGTGGTTGCGGTGAAGAGGCTGAAGGACGCGCAGATTGCAGGAAAGAGGGAGTTCGAGCAGCACATGGAGGTTTTGGGAAGGTTAAGGCACCCCAACATTGTTAGTTTGAGGGCTTACTATTTTGCTCGCGATGAGAAGTTGTTGGTCTATGATTACATGCCCAATGCTAGCTTGTTCTGGCTCCTTCACGGTACGTTATTTCGTTTGCACCTTCGTTTTTTCTGTTTGTTTGGAGTATGTCACATGAAATAAAACAAAGTTTGACTAGGTTACCGATTTCTACCACTTCTCCCATTTTTTGTTCTTTAGTTGCCCCTTGGCCCTTGAGCACTGAAAGAAAGTCAATTGAAGAGTGCTGAGTGGGTTATCTGCTTTGAAAGCTCTCTTTTATTTTCTACATTTAACTTCCACCAGGGGCCTAAACAAAATAGCAAAATAGCCAACAGAGTCACGCATGTAGGTTACCCGTGCTTGATGATTAATTGATGGTCGTCTGAGGAGGGTACGATATACCCTCCCATTAGGTTACCTGTGCATCAATGTTCGTGGGGGTCCGTTTTTGAGGCTCCTTCAAATTTAAAAGTTGGGTCATCAACCATGTGATTTGCTTTGGATATGGATTCTTTATTATTCCTTCTCCTTCCTTCCAAAGCTGTAATTTTCTAATACTAATACATTATTTTTCAGCAATAGTAGACAAAGGAACTGTTTAGTGTACAGTGGCTGCGCAATCATAACCCTCTGTGAATCTGGACTATTGTATTGTACCACAAAGACCAATTGACTGATTGTGCATTGTCTTGAACCTCCTTTTTCGTTAAAAAAATAATTAAAGAATACGATTAGTATTTAGCTTTTGTTCTTTTCCTGAACAACGTTTGGCCTTTTGCTTTTATCTTTTATCTTTTATCAGTTGAATAACAAATATGACCAAAAAGTGGACACTAGGCTCTGGCAAATAGAAAACCGGGAACTTTAATTTAGATGGCAAATGTGTAAAATAGATGAAAATTGATGGTGGAATTCCGACAGGGAACCGAGGACCCGGACGAACCCCACTGGACTGGACCACGAGACTGAAGATAGCAGCTGGAGCGGCAAGAGGCTTGGCCTTTATTCACAACTCGTGTAAATCCCTTAAGCTCACCCACGGTAACATCAAATCCACCAACATCCTCCTAGACAAGCAGGGAAACGCAAGAGTGTCAGATTTTGGCCTTTCAGTGTTCGCGGGCCCCGGCCCAGTAGGTGGGAGATCGAACGGGTACCGTGCTCCGGAAGCATCGGATGGTCGAAAACAAAGCCACAAGTCTGACGTGTACTCTTTTGGTGTTCTCTTGCTGGAGCTGCTGACAGGGAAGTGCCCCTCGGTGGTGGAGAGTGGTGGGGCAGGGAGTGGGTACGGTGGGGTAGTGGACCTGCCGAGGTGGGTCCAGTCGGTGGTGAGGGAGGAATGGACGGCGGAGGTGTTTGATTTGGAGCTGATGAGGTATAAGGATATTGAGGAGGAGATGGTGGGGTTGCTCCAGATAGCCATGGCTTGCACTGCGCATGCGCCTGATCAACGGCCCAGGATCAGCCACGTGGTGAAGATGATTGAGGAGTTGCGTGGTGTAGAGGTGTCGCCGTGTCATGACACGTTGGACTCGGTGTCCGAGTCGCCGTCTTTGTCTGAAGATGCCTGTGGGACTAGTCAGTGATGCATATTATTTAAGTATGGTTTTGACGAGATGGACTAGCCACTAGCATTCTTGTAATAATGTAGATCAGATTCTTCGGGCGTTCTCCCTTTCAATTTTTTATGTTTTTTTTTTTTTTCTATCTCGTATTTGTTGATGATCCTCTGCCCAGTTTCTGAATGCCAATTTAAAATTTTCGTTCCAGCCCATTTCAGAATATTAAATTATAGGTTTTGAGTTCGAATTATTTTGATCTATTTAAATATAAAATGAGTTTGAGTCTCTTTATTTTAAATTTTGAAACGTTATTTTTCTCTCGGGAGATTGGGTGGTCTATTTTACGATCTCATTTTATAATAGTTAGTGGGGCTTTAATTGAAGGTAAAGCTTAAAGGGCTTTGGTTGGGCCTTTCTTTTCCAAATTTGTTGACTAGCAATGGTTGGGGAAGATATTCGATTCAATTGGGTCAGTCAGTTCAATAATGGTCGACGTAGTCTGAAATGGGATTCAAATGTAGAACGCGTCTCGTTTGATTCTTATAGAAGTTTAACTGATTGGGATCTGTGATGTCAATTTTGACCGTGAAGGAGGCATCCAAATAAAACGTGCATTCTTTCTTATTTTCATGCTACTTTTTTTGTGGTCATGTTATTTGTCAAGATTAGAACTATCGGTACCAACTATTCTTCAACAGCTTGATGGTTTTGGATTCAAGAGCTTTTCGTTAGTGAGATAGATATATAACCCACCCAATACTAAAACTCATTCTGTATTGATGAAATTACAAGATAAAAAGAATGAATTAAATAAATAATTGGTTATAGTGATAACTTTTCTCTGTTTTTGTGCCTATAATAATAGAATTAGAAATGCATAACCTCGGGTGCAATCCTAGTGAGCCTCGACAGAGCACTAGGCGAGAACTTCCTAGCAAAAAGAAAACAAATATTGTTGCTGCTTCCGTTATACTTGCATTTCTTGTTCCTCAAACTCTCCAAGAACTTAACAGTAATGTCAGATCTCAAAAATTTAGCTGGGTGTGGACCACCCTTTGACCAGTCAACCCAAGTCAAACTCCTATTCGAATTCCCCTCCCAAAACTTGATGCTCACAAACGTTGGCAAGTAATGTTCATCTGCGTAACATGAACCTTTGCAGTATTCTTGAAAAACTGGGAAGTATTTTTTGTCAGATACTACTTCAACTGCAAGCCCTCTGTCCATTTCAAACCATTGGGACCCTTTTCTCCATTGCTTGAGAGAGATATCAGGCAACATTTGAATGCTGTAGCGGCCACGACCAACAGCACTAGGCTCATCAAAAGCCATCACATAGTTTTGAGTAGAGTTCATCAAGTAAGAGTAGATTGTTGAGAAGTTGAAGAGTGGTATGCAGGATTCTGATAAGAGAACAAATCGTTGGTTTGAAATATCCAGTAGTGCATTGCCTAGCAACCGACGCTCAGCTTCGATCATGTTGACATTACCCCATTGCACTTCCTGCATCGTGTGAAATCAGATCAATGTTTGCTGGAATTATAAATCTTAATCAAATCCATGAATGTATGCTATTTATGTGCACAATTTTCTTATCCTTTCACTCTAATTATATAATTTTTCTACACTAAACATAAAGGATTTGATAAAAAATCCGCACAATAGATGAGTACTGTCATTGTTGTCTTTTTATTAATTGATTCATAAGCATAGCTGCAAATATAAGCATGTAACAAGGGCTTTGCATAGGACTGTATATACTCTATGATTCATTTCAATTATCCAAGCAATAATCATTTCCATAATAGGCAATAAACGATTAGTAAATGCAACATGTAACTGAAGAAGAAACCAACTAACCTTGCTGGGAATTCTCCGACCATGAAACACTGGACTCTCGGGGTGTGATCCATTGTATGAAGGATTGGAATGCACGTAAATTGAGTAATACCCTTCATGCCCCTCGAAGAATTTCTCCCACAAAGGTGCCAAAAACACAGGACCCCTTGTCAAGAACATAAAGGCAACCTTGGGAACTCGATCAAACGGGTAATCAGGGATCTTTGCAGTCATTGAAGCTCTCCAAAGCAATTCCTCATCATCCATATCATGCATAACATTAGGAGGCTCAAGGAATTCCTTCAACCCAACATGACTACTTTGATTATTAGATATTTCAGGCTTGGTAATTGGTGGTGGCAAGGGTTGCGTTCGGGGCAAGGTAGAGAGTGACAACTGAGTGAATTGTAGGCTAAAGGTGCAGTCTTTTACATAAAAACTGATGATGATCCCAAGGGTTACACCAAAGCCCAAGATGAGGATATAGGTGAGAAACTGAACAAAGTAAAGTTGAGCATTGAAAAGCTTGGAAACAGAGTTTAATGGGCATTGATTATTTGAGCCCTTCATATTAGAGTGACAAACAAAGAAAATTCTCTAATAATTCTTTTATCTATGATGGGTATCTAAGTTGAAGCCAGTAAATAATAATAGAAAATATGTATAACTTAAAAATTATCTGTCTATGGCTTTTTTGTATTGATGAAATACTTCAAACAATACCAACAACAATTCTATATTTTAATTAAAATATCTCTATGGTCATAACCATAACCAACAAGATCAAATGAATGAATTCAATACAAAAATACAAAAAGAATCACCTAGCGTGAAACTGATCCAAAATATGTTGGACCCTGCAATCAAAGGATGATAGAGAAGAGAAAGAAGGGGAAAAAAACTCGAAGTACAAAGAGAAGTAGAAGGAAAAGCTCAATTATATACCACAAACATAACCATCCACAGGCTTTGAATTGGAGGCACTTTCTCTTTCTGTCTTCTAAATGCCCACTTTATATATATGCTTTTTGTTTTGTGCTGAATTAGGAATAATAAAAGCTTTGTTATAAAGATGAACTAGCCAGAGGCCCAGACCCATCAAAAACAGTTATCGCTGGCGTTGGAAACCGGTAGAAGAGTATTGACAAATTCGTTACAAGAAACCAATAAATATATAGCATTTATTTAATTGGAAGTCGCAAATTATTAATTATTACGTTGAAACTTAATAAGAAAATGCAGATGCTATCATTATTATCTGGTGCCATCTGTTGCTGGTACAGTGCGATACTAAAACGACAAAGACGTTTTGTGTGTGGAATTTTTGACGCTGAAAACGTATGTTATGACGAAGACCAAGTTAAGTAGCCGCCGAGCAAAATAGTTTTCAACACGTCCGTTTGTTACGTGTTTCTTTACTGAGTTTTCGATAATTTATATTTCTAATTCCTGTGGACCCTTTATTAAAGGGAGGTTTCTTTGTTTGCCCCAAAAATAAGGCAACACGGAACGAGCCACCATGCAAATGGGTAGCATTTAGAAGACTTTTCACATATAAAAGTTGGAAAAATAAGGGAAATACAATGGCTTATTGAATGAGACGTCACCATGTTATAATATTATTTTGTTCACCGTTAATAGGAATTTTAAGATTCATTGAAATGAAGTGTACGTAAAAGCTCATTTTTTATTTGTAGGAGATACCAAATTTAGGACACACACGCACTAGACCCTTAGGATATATTTTTAATACACCTTAATGTTTACAATAGTTATATGTTTTCGTTCTCTTTTCTTAGTACCCTTCCATTTAAGCAATGAGAGTTTTGTCAAAATACAGTTAAATTCTAAGGATATTTAAAGAGTTATAAATTGAAAGGAAATATATATATATATATATAACAGTTAAATTTTCTTATTTAATATAATAAAATATGAAAATCATTTATCTTTTACCCTCTCCTACTTACTTTTTGAATCTGCCTTACCCCTGCCAATTAGAAAATTTTTAGAAATCCACTAGCAAGAAAGGGAATAGGAGGGAGATAAAGAGTAGAGTAAATAAAGAACAAAAGAAGGAAATTAACTTTATTTTTTAAAAGAAATCCCTGAAAATGAAAGGTTGAGGTAGAGATTTATCATTCATATGTTTTCGATGTAAATTATTTAGGCAGCAATACGGACTACGGAGTACAAGACAACAAATTTCGTTGCCGCCTACGATACTTATAACACAGACAAACTCCCTTCTTTGATAAACTATTTATAAACTAGTTTATGGTATTTCTTGTTTTGTCTTCATGTCCGTAGATGATGTTACATTAACTTCATTTCAGAAAAACAAGGTGCACGTCATTAACTTGAACTTTTATAATTTACTAACAGAAACTTTGTATATATACTACGTTTCATTAAAAGAGATAAACATTCCATTAAAGATAACAACGTAAAGAACGAATACTAACCACTAGTTGATCCTCTAACAACATTACTAGCCGATAAATAAATGCAAAACAAAACACACAAATCAACTAACAAGAAGAGAGTCACAAATACAACAATCTTGAAATTGGACCACCAATTTTGGGTAATCTGTTGAACGAGAAACACACCGAAACAATAAGCTGAATGAAATATTTTATTTTTCAATTATAGGAGGAAATTAGAGAAAATAAAATATTTTACACATTCGAGATAATGACATTTGAAGAATGAGCACTTTCGCATAACTTTTCATGTATTGCCTGAGGAATCTGAACATCTACCAAACTCAAGTTTGAAAGGGCTTTGCTTGTGTAAAGCATCACTGACTATTTCCACGAATCACGGCAGCACTTCGCTTCCACTGTTTAGCCTTGATCACATGTAAGAAGTATTATTTACAGTTGTAAAACAGACTTTATCTTCAAAACCCGTTGGCAAGGAGTCAATCTGGCAAGCTTAACCGCTAACTTATAACTATTTCACTAATTTATAAGTTTATTGATTTAAAATAATTATTAAACAAATAAATATATCCTATTATCATTTTTTTCAAACATTATTTAAAGTAGTATTTTAAGTTATTAACTTATAACTTACTATTTTTAAAAAAATTATCCTTGCTACTTAAAATTCTTCATTTACTGTCTTCTTTAATATATGCTCTTATTTTAGTTATCAGACTGTTTATATTATTTATGATTAGATTTAATAAAAAAAAATGATTATATTATTCTTCATTTTGATTATATTATTTATTGAAATAAAAGAAAATCAAAACTATCTTAAAAAAGTAAGATTATCGTTACTTAAGAATAATTTTTTGTCTCTCTCATTCCTTTCTTCTATATTTTTTACATCCAACAACTTAAAACATACTCATTTTATCTCTCTTTTTTCTTTAATCCAAATTCTTTCTTCTTTCAAAACATTCTCTTTCTCAAACCAATATCTCTTGGGGAGAAAGGGTCTGCATCTTTACCTAACCTAGGGGCATTACTCAGTATCCACTTCACCATGCCCAAATTATAATTCTAAAGCATGTTTTTCCACAGTACAAATTTTTATTTCCACGAAGACGGAATTTGAATGAGTTTACAAACAGGAGCTAAAACCATGGGAAAGCCTTGACTTTGCCGGAGCTTGGATGCCCAGGTGAGATGTTATTGAGTGATAAAGAAACACAAACCCACTTGAGACCAATCATTAGTAATCTGTTAATGTAAATTGCACCAAAAATAATATTAACACTCCTTCGAGTCCCTTCCACTCAATGGATGACAACCTCAGAACATTTCAAGCGCCTCTCAAGTTTCAAAGTACTCTTTCAGTAATATCATAGCATGTTACATCAAAGCTCACAATTTAAAATGTAGTTCGCATTCCTGCTTAACGATCAACAAACAGAATATAACTCTCCCAGAGACGTACACCATTCTATTTACTAAACTTTCTTTTGACAGTACAATACAGCAATGCCAGCCAGAACACCGGCAATAAGAAATGAAGATTTCCCTACTAGATGTAATAAACTTCCTCTAGTGTAAGCCCATATCCATCGAGATAGAAAATGCAGTCCACAGGTATCTTTGAACTTCTGGGTTGAAAAATCCTAAGGCAGACGCAGTATGTTCTGTCAGTTTCACGAGAGAATAAAAGCCAATCTCACAAGTAATTCCTCTCAGATTATCACAAGAGCTATATATCTTATACAGCTACTGCACAGAGTTCCCATTATCTAAGGCCACTTCAATGCAAATAATGTATTTTGAGGATAGAGCTACATATTTTCTCAAAAAAAATAAAATGCAACGGACGAAGCTGATAGGTAGTCTTGAGTAAGCCGGTGCAGCTCTTCAGAATTATAATTTACCCAGATTGTCAGCAAATGCAACCAAACTGGAATTGAAAGTTTCTAGAGAGAAATCCTGCACATTCTCACAAAAATTGTCCAAGTTTCATTCAATTTGGAATGGTATTAAGTCACTCATTTAAATATACTTGTTGAGCAATGTTCTCAAGAAACGATGGAGAATTGCAATTCCATGAATCATGCACAATTCTGCCAATAATTAATCGCTAATGAACACAAAAACATTGAGATGAAGGGAAGTAATATCCAAAATATGAAGCAGTGCTACATCTGGTTAGTGGTTTACCTAAGAGGGGAAAACAAAATTCTAGTAAAACAATTATCTTCCATAAGAGAAATGATAGACATGGATTTGTTATTTTCGATTGAGGGTAGATTAGACATTGATCAGAGTTATTCGACAGTTTCGGTAGCAGATTCTTCACTTTATTTGAACAGTCAGATGACAAACAGGTCATTTTCGAATTTTATTGAAATACAACAAAGCTTTTGTTATTTAAGGAAGAAAATAAAATAATGAATAAAGGAAGAAGGCCAAGAAAGGATGTAGTAAGAATCACGTGCATATCAAACACCAGCCAGGCAGCCAAGTCTCCAGGTTATTTTGCTGTTCCAATAAAACTATTTAAAAAAAATAAATAATATTATGAAAATAAATGTATCAGGCATAATATAATATTAAAAACATTAAAATAATGAAACAAAAGATATCATTAAATAAATAGCATGTTTTCAATCATTCATGTGCCGTTTCTATGAATTTCTTTTGTATGAAATAGTATTTCCATCGGTATAAATTACTGCACCTCAGCTTGATGCTAAGAAATATCAGGTTAATAGCACAAATGACTGACACACATACCAACCTAAGGCATGGATAAAAGTAATGTATAAATATAATTACGAGGATAAGCTATGATAAGATATAGTGTAATAAACAAATACTACACATTTTGAAAAACTTATGCATGACATAAAAGCACCAAGGCATAAAAAAGGAAAAAGTTCTCATTTTTAGAAAGATGCAGAGCTTGTGGTGAATATAAATGCCTACAGCCAAGCCGAGAAAGGTGAAAAAGGCCAAATTCCACAGGCAATGGATTTTTCACCCATAGATACTAAGAATTTCTCAAATAAAAGATAAGGGTGTTTAAAACTTAAAAAGCGTATTAGTCATTAGTCATTACCTTTGGTAACTTATGTTGCTGGGCTAGATGATCCACATGGAGCCTCACATTTGATGATGCAGCAACCCAGGCACGGTGGTCAACATCAGAATATACATACGCTACAATGTCAAACAAAGTTTTTGCTCCACCTTCAATCGCTTTTAAGATATTAGCTTCTCTACTCCTACGATTCCTGAAAATAATGACAACAATCCATTCAGTGACTCCGACATAAAATATCAACTGTTAACTTGTTCGGTCAAAAGAAGGAAGTGATTGATTATTGATACTTTAAATATCCACACAGCATATGCTTTGGCCAGAGATTAACTCTCCCATGCATTGGTATTAAAGCATGTGGTGAAAGCTCCAGAAATCTGTATGTGGTTTGGAAGTATTCCTGCAAATGACAATAATATTGAGCGAAAGTACATCTAATGCACTCAGAGACAAATACAAAAATTAAGTAAAGGAGGGTAAATAATAAAGAAACTTCAATGTAAGTAGTTATATCATTTGGTATGTACTAAAGATATCTTTAGTTAATTGTTAGAGACTACTTTTTTTAAGACAAATATATTACCAAAATAAATTATAACCTCCTTCCTAGCCAATATACTAAAAGAACAACTATCTACTAATGGTGTTGATGATCCTATATATATATACATAATTATATTACTAAATAATAAACTATTTTTTCATTTAAAAAACTCTATACATATATATTTTTTAAAAAAGATTTTGGGAGTGTAAGGGCCCACTCTTACCCCCTTGGATCTGCCACTGAACACTGGTATTATAAACATTATTTTCTTTTAACTATGGTTACTTTGTTAAAGTGTACGTCATTCTCTAAATTGCAGGGGATGCAACATTAATTTCACACTTACAGTCATATTTCCACCAGAAGTTATGTCCAAGACAGCACTTCCTTGACTGAAACAAAGTGAATCATTATGTTAGTAGAGCATAGTAATTAACAAAAGATTCTTAGAAAATATTGGAAGTACAAAGAGTAAATCAGACAGCTTCGACATTGAATAACATGACACATATTTTGGCATGCCAAATAATTTCTTTCTCTAAAATCAAAACTAGGTAGACACCTACTCAGTCCCTCATCAAGTTTGAGAAGAGGAATTTTGCAAAGGTAAGTCTACCAGATTGATCTTTTTATAATAATCCTATCTCGTATTTTCTTCTCCTTATATCTGTATGTCTTCAATAAATTCATTGATCTAGAAATAAAAGAAGGAAAACTCAATAGTCTAATGGACTGAAACTTCATCAACTTGTTAATAAACATTATTTTGGTTTTTTTTATAAAATAAGGAGATAATTAGTAATTAGAATAACTACTGCATAAACAATTCCCAGGCATTTCAAAAAAAGGCATCATAACCAAAAAATATGTAAACAATTGGATCAGAAAATAATAAAAATTGCAAGAATGATGAACCTTTATTGAAGATGAAACACCCTCAATCTTTCTCTAGAACAGAGAATTCCTATTAAAAACAGAGAAGGGATATAAAAGGTAACAAAATACAAGTATTCCAGGACCTTTGACAGCCTGGTCTCTCCTCCTCACTTCTATGAATTACCTAAAAGTAACTCTCTCTCACTTCCTTATTTATAACAGACTCTTTCACTCTCCCACTTCCTTATTTATATCAATATAATTGCCTTCCCCCATTACCTTATTTTTAGCAGTATAACTGCCTTCACTAATTCTCCCTTATATAAAACCTCATTAACCAAGGTAGTCCACATGAATCGGGCCTTACTTTATTTCTCCTACAATACACCTCTTTTATTGGAGATATAACAAAATAGTTCACTACAATTTCAGGTCTACAAGACTACAACGGTCAAAATGTCCAACTACAACATTATTCCAGATAACGTATTCAAATGTGAAGAAAGTTTTACAACCATACAAACATGCATAAATAGTTAAATACATAAATATACATGAAATAATGTTTATGCATATGATAAGAAAAATTGTGTGCATAATTCAATTTGAAATTTGCTTCATGTATGATCCATAATATTGTTTTGAATCTTACCCCACACAATGATCACCTACAATCAAGGAATGAGTATTCACATGAAGCAGCGCCATATGACCATCTGTATGTCCCTGAATCGAATAAAATTTCCAAATTTAGCAGAAAATATGTGCAATTTTACAGAGAACAATTATTTTCTCACCACACTAATGACCTCAATACAAACTCATGTTAAGAATTCAAGTAATATTTAATATAGATTGAGATATAGTTCATTTATTTTGTCAAGAAGTCAAGAATCAATTTGACTTTGAAGCAGGGACAAAGCACAGGTTCACTGTTTGAAGAAACTACCTTGAGAACGAATTCAACCTTAAAGCTTTACCTACTAAAATAAGACACATGAATGATTTTTTATGTGCATCTCTAACAGATCTTTTGTGAAAGTTTTCTGTCCTATACGGTAATGTTAAAATAGTGGATGTGTCATTACCTGGTCATACATCTTAAACACAAATTTCAAATTTATATGGAAAATATGATCTAGAAAAATTGAAGTCATTGCAAGCCAACTAGTATTATGAATGCAAAAACTACCGGTGCAAAAATAGCTCTCAATGTCTGACCACCAACGTAAATGTCTTCATCTCCTGTAACTGAGGTATAGCCAAGTGACCAATCATCTGTAATCATGGAATATTGGTTTAATGACTAGGTGAAGTTTTATTCTAGGTACGTCAGGGCAGAACCTAAGAATCTAAAGGAAAATTAGAAACTAATCTGAAAAAAACAAATCATAAAAATTGAAATAACAACATATGTTTGTGTATCCTAGTTTTATGTACTGTTAAACTTTAGACCAACTCTTTCAGAATCAAAAGGAAGAAAAATATCACTCTCTACTTTCATTATTTTGTTTTCTAGTGAAATTGAAGGATAGATAGCCAAGGATTGCATTGTATGTCAGGTATGCAAATTTAATTGTAAATTGTCTCTAATATGCAGAGAAGAATGACAGTAGCAGTGCTTTATAAAAGCATACAAAATGCATGAAAATGCTAGAAAATTCAGGAGATGAAAGAGAATTCACTCACAGTCAATCTGGAACCATAAATTTTGGAAACTAGTTTCATTTTTTTGTAAGGAAAGTTATTAAACAAAATTGATTTAACATTGAAAACCTTAAAGAAAAATTTGTGTGTACACATAAAAATCTGCTCCAAATCTGGTGGAAATGTAATGAGTGGATAATTTGTTTCCATTTAATTTTTTCATGGTTTGAATTGATGATTTTGCACTTATTAGATTTTCAGAGGGAGAAATTATATTATTCAAGTAATGGGAAGGAAAGAGAAATAAAATAAAGCAAATTAAATTTATCTGTGATATGTTCCAAAGATGAAAAATAATTGGCAATTCAATCCAAATCATTTAAAAAAGAGTTGGGAATTGGCTTCTTAAATCAAATCAAATCCATTTTTTAATGAATGGTTCCAAGCATGATGTTAGAATTCTAATCCTCGGCACCTAATCATAAAATATCAATATCCAACCCACAAAAAAAATGCAACAAGCTGAACTGCTACTGCTTTTTCTTTCTGGAAATTTCACCACCAACCACAGTATCTAGACACTTATAACATAAAACCACATCAGACCTTTAACATCTCTTGCCCAACATATAAATAGCAACAAAGAGAATTATCATGACTCATGAGTACTAATCCAGATGTTACCAAAAGTTGGGTTTTGCAAGTTTAGCGTGACAATTCTAAGATTCATACCAAAGTCATGATCTATATGTCTTTTACTCAAAACCAAGATTTCTATGAAATTTCATGATAGATACAACATATATTTTATTTCACCATGAGTGTTTGTTCTTTAGTTTCTAGTTGGTGTAGTTTTATTATACTTCATCTGCTCTAGTTGCATAATTATTTAATTAACACAAAATTAAGAAAGAAAATACAAATTTGCAAACACTATCAAAGAACATTATTGAAATGAAAACAAAAACTAACATTATAACCTCTACTTATGCGACGCATGGTATTTTCATGTGCTAACAAAATGGCATCAGGATTCCACTTCTGGATAACTGAGAGACCTGTCATAAAGGGTGAAAATATATTTGAAATGTAAGTTTCCAAGTACAAGAGTATATCCATTACAGGCAATAGCATGTAATGATTTTGTTTTTTCAAAGCAGGAAAAAGAGATTATTATAATAACTGCCTCACCATTCACCACTATACCTTGCAGCATAACTACCTTAAAAATATTACACAGGTCAATGAAGTTTCAGCAAAGACTCACCTTCTACATGATCAGGATGATGATGGGTGACAAAGACCACTAGTCGTCTTGGCAAAGCAGTAACAACTTTCTTTAGCTGATAATTAGAGAGCAGCATGTTAAGGTATAATTGATGAGGAAAACAAATTTCAAAACCAGATAATTTGAAAATTAACCACACATAGAAGGTAAGATATAGGGAATGGGGAAAGAATCATCAAAAGTATATCTCCAGGAAAATTTCTTGAAAAGTCACATGACTTGCATTTAAGTAGCAAAAGTTCAAATGAATGGGACTTGTTTCTGCTTTTGCTGTCAATAAGTAGCGTCAATCTAGATTAAGACAGCCAAATCAGCATGATCTAGTAAGAAGAAATTATGAAATGCATCCCACAAAAATGCATGAAGATGGAATAGAAAACAGAGGGGTAAAAGATGACTCAAAGGCCACAATGTCATGGACCAACTGCAAAAGCTTGGATGTTATGTGGAAGAAATACCTCTCCATGGAATTCTGATAGACATCCTGGATCAACTATTAGTGCATCTCCATGTGCAATAAAACTATTCTCCTCTGAATCATTTGGAACATTCTCAGGTGCAAACACCACCAAATTTGTTGTGTGAAAAGGCTTTGTTGTCCTACTTCCCATGGGTATAAGTGTAACACCAGGCGGGTACTCCTAAAATTGTATAAAAAAACCTTCATTTTGCACCAGATTATTAACATAATGACTTCAAAAAATAAAAATTCAGCTTCCTATTTCTCCTTTCTTTGCACACAAATATCAAACTGCAGCTATGATCTCTGACCAAATAGTTTAAGATATAAATTGAGTTGCTGAAATATAACACTGTGTTGCTCATCTGGAGGATTTTTTTTTTTTCCCTTTTAACCATAAGCAGTTAACAAAAAGGGTGAGCACATTCGCCAGTGAATATGTATGAGAGCAGTGAAAATCTAGTAAACAAATCATATGCCAAATCTGAACACTAGAACCTTGCCTAAGAATAAAAAGATTTAGAAAATGACATTATTTGGGAGGTGGGAGGGGGCATCATTGATTCAATATCCATAGAGGTTGATATCCCTTTAGAACAAAAGACAGTCTGGAATATTAACAAAAAGCTTCTCCAATATTATTGCTTCCAGATTTATTTCAAAATTTGCAATTCCCAAGGAATTTTAAAGAAAGCAAACCTGATACTGTATAGCAGGAGGGACTTTCCATTTTGTAGAGATAGATGATTCATTTATAAGGCCAACAACTACCAATGGTCCAACACGATCCCCATGTGGTTTCACTTCCAGAAGCCAGTTAAGACAGCTTTGGACAGACATCCATTTAAAGGAATCTGTATAGAGTTATAGACTTCAAAAATTAATCACAAATATTGTTGACATACCATGGAATTAAAATTTTTTAAAAAAAAAGTTAAAGACATTAACAATGATTGAATCTAAACCCAAACATAAATCATCTGCGAATAAATATGATGATGATAACTTGCAACGTCAACTACGACAAACTTGAAAAGCAAGCAAACCTCTAAAGTTCTTGTCCTCAGGTGCTACCAATTTTCCGATAATGAAGACTGTGTTAACGGGGAAATCTGGTCCAAACGCAGCTTCCTTCACATACTTATGGAACTTCCATCCTCCCCTTTCAACCGCCTCAAACCCTAATCGTCCATACACCTAATAACAAAACCGTTTAACTTCATCATCATCAAAGCATATTAAAAACTCAAAACATCCAAAATTGAAGGACACTACCTCGTTAAGAGCCGCACGGATGTCGAATTCCCTCAGACTGAAGTCCTCCGAATGCGAGCCCACAACTTCCACCTCAACCGGGAGTTGCGACTCTGCTTGCTGCGAGTTCAACTGCGCCGCGGGCAAGTCCCAGAGATCGGAATCCACGAAAGAATCGTATTCTTCATCGTTGAATTTGGGAGGGTGCGACTGCTTCACGAGCAGAAACTCACTGTCGTTTGACGGGTTTTCAATGATCAAAGCGAGTCTGTGAGCTGCCATTGCCAAAGGAACCGTTAATGGATTGAGTTCACAGGGGGAGTGAAGTTCAGAAGCTAATTTCACGTGGGAGAACTAATAAGAAAATTAATAATAAAGTATGCATTTATTGCAATTTAATTTTTTAAAAAAAGTAGCTACTAATTTGTCAACAAAAATTAAAAAATCACCGTAGGTTAGACCATTTTTACAACTACATGTGATTTGGAATTTGATTCCTAACGAATTTTGTTAAATATTGAGAGAATTGATTCAGCCAGCTTTAATAATTAATAATTATTTTTCAAATTTAAAATTGTTCTAAACAATTTTAAATTTGAAAAATAATTATTAATTGAAGAGTGGGTGGGCCAATCCAAGAGTGGGTGGAAAGTTATGGCATATGGTACGGCTGAAAAGTATTGAAATTGAAATTTGGACCTCCCCAAACAAATTTCAAATCATGGTTCCCTTCAATATCAAACATTGTATAATTCCCCTAGTTTGAGCCAAATATCCGTGTGAATATCCACGAAGCTACGATTCATGCTACAACTAAAAGATATGGTATGGTGAAAAATGTCGATGGGGTTTTAGGGTTTTATTCCTACCATGCTAACTGTGGCTTCAATAAAATGTCCATATCATAATGCAATCTATATATATATGTAGTTAATTTTAAAAGTGTAAAATCTTAATCTTATTTTTTAAAATAGTTAATAATTTTAAAATATAATTTCTGAAAGTGTGAAATTTTAAATTTCAAAATTGATTTAATCATAAAAATTTGTTTCTATAAGTGTAAAAACTTAATTTTAGAAACTTTGATAGTGTAAAAACATAAAGTTAAAAAATAATTAAATTCTAAAAATTTATAGAATCCAAACTCTGAGCTATTGAACACGGTTTTGTGGAAGCATTTCGTTTGATTTTTAGGGAGCCAACATTTTCCCGTAGATATGTTGTAGTGGTGGTTGACATTTTACGTGTCATTTTGTCTCACATTATTACTTAGATAAGCCTACGAAAGTGTTGATTTTCTTGCCAATTCCCTCCCATATGGAACTCTTGCTGCTGCTCACTGACTCGCGTGAAAACACATATTAGGATGTAATATTGCCAAATACATAACACTATTTTTTGTTTTAACATCTATGCTTGTATTATTTTACAAAAATATTATATTTAGTTTTTTTAAAATGTATACGGCTTGAAGACTGTATATATTCCTTTTATTATTTTGTCGGTTTGTGTCAATGATATATAATTATTGATTTTTGTCTCTTCATATTGTTACTATATTTAAATAAAATTATGAAGACTAATTTGTAATTTTTTAATATAGGCACTAAATATATATATTTTTCATTTATAAACCAAAACGAAAAAGCAAGTAAAATATCAAAACTAAAACTATAGTTTAATCAAACGTCTTTTAACTATATTTTTATTCATATAAATAGTTTTATTTTTAGAATTTGAGATTCTTTCACCCAGACCAACAAGTGTTTGACAAAAATTTGTAAAATTTTAAAAATAAATTTAAACTAACACTGTATATAATACAATAATGTTTCTAGCTAAATAAGTTTACAAAAATCAGCGAATGAAAAAACTAGAGTTAAAAGTTGGGTCTCATTAAATCTGGCCTTGACCCTTGACCTTGAGCAATCCTAATTAAACTAAAATAAACAAATAAAAATATAAAAAAGGGCGTCGTCTTACAGTGATACTAATTACCATTACAGAGGCCACCTCCACCGGACACAATCGCGTTTCTCTCTTTCTTTCTGCAAATTCAAAACCCAATCTCAGTCTTTTCCTTTCTCATTTCGTTCGTTTCTAGATTGACCTGACGAACGCAGATCCCAAATTCCCACCTCGCAAAATTTCTACTTTTTCTCATTCCGAGGTCCCATGACCGATCCAATGGCGCTTTGAATCGCGTGCCTTTCTCCTTCGGTGGGAACATCTTATTGCCTTGAATTCGGTTATTGGAGCAGTTGGGTCGATGAGCAACATGTCACACTAGTTTTCGAAATCCAAAAGGTCGTTTTCTTGGCTGCCTTGTGTTTGAAGAGAGAAAGGGGTAACACTAGCAAATGGGGATGGGTTCGAAGATGGAAGGACCATCTACCCCAGCAATTCGACGTGACCCATATGAGGTTTTATCCGTGTCGCGGGACTCCACCGATCAAGAAATAAAAACGGCTTATAGAAAGCTTGCCCTTAAGTGCGTTTTCTTCTTCTTTCATCTTCTATCTTTTCCATTTTTTTTTCTGATTATTATTTTCGTTTTTAATTCTTAATTGGGTCGTGTGTCTTTTTCTTTTACCTTCGAATTTTCATCTGAGTACTTGCAGATGTGGTTCTGTTTGTTTTGGAAGTTGCGGTTTTTCGTTTGCTTCAAGTGTGTTAGGTCTTTTTTTTGGTGATTTACTTTCCCCTGTAAATGGAACAGTGTCAAGATTATTGGATTCCAGAATTGAGATAAAATAATTGAAGAACCTTTGCGGGTCATGTGATGAACATTCTTATTTAATCTAGTGAGTTGTAACTTTACATGTTAAAGAGTGTACTGAATCCAGGCATGGGAATGTGGGTGATAAGAGGAAGATCAAATCAGTTAAACAAATATACAGATATTGATGTCAGCCTTTTGTTCTGGATTTTGTAGAATTAAGGGGTTTGTTTACTTATTTTCTGGTAAAGAATGACGATTATGATAATAAATACGTTTGGGATTTTTTACATATGTCTATACGATTGACAGGTATCACCCTGACAAGAATGCCAGCAATCCTGAAGCTTCAGAGCTATTTAAAGAGGTTGCATATTCTTATAGTATCTTGTCTGACCCAGAAAAGAGAAGGCAGTATGACAGCGCTGGATTTGAGGTCCCCTTCTTATTGTCCTTCCCATGTGAATCTAAAGCCCTGTTTCTCTCCCTTTTTTTTTCTGTTTATCTTTTCCAATCCTTCCTACCGTATGAAAACAAAAAATATGGTTTGTGACATTGATGAAATCTAAGTTATCAGGGCAAATAGAGAAGAAATGCATTGCTTGACTAGTTTTAGCTGTATTTTTCAGAGGAGCATGTTTTAACATCTTACTTTTCTTGTGATGAATAATTGAACCTACAAGATTATCTCATGCTTTCAACATGTACATCTCTGGAGAGAGGGGCTGAAGCAGTCATGTTACCTGCCTGCAACTTCAAATCCAAGGGGATTGCATATCTATGCTTATTATATTTATTTAACCAAGTTTGAATTTCATGCATGTTAGTTGTGAAGTTATGGTCATTTGTTTCAGTACCAGTTTCTTGTCCATATGTGCTGTTTGTTGTTTTCCAATCTTGGTTTCTTTGGTAGAATATTATCTTTGCCATCAATTCATCTATCCATCTTCTTTGTTCTGGCGTGGCAAATCTTGAAAATTTAAGTTTAATCAGTATTATGCTCTTCTTATGGGTGTAATAAATTGTTTGTTTTATGTATTATTGCTGTATAAATTTCTGTAAAGCTTTTTTAATGTTTCAGTTCATATTCTTCTTGATATAGTCCTATTGATATGCAACATTCTGAGATATTTTGCCAATACATTTCAGGCACTTGATGCTGACAGCATGGACATGGAAATTGATCTGTCTAATCTTGGGACTGTGAACACGATGTTTGCAGCTTTATTCAGGTGTGAATTTAGTACATGACTGCATGTTTTCAGACTTTCCTTTGCTTTGCTTTGTTTTTTATTCTTTTTTGTTTGTAGCAAATTGGGTGTCCCTATCAAGACTACCATTTCAGCTAATGTTCTTGAAGAAGCTCTGAATGGAACAGTTACAGTCAGACCACTTCCAATAGGAACATCAGTTAGTGGAAAGGTTCTTACATTCTTCATGATTGTTGAACCAATACAGTACTCTTCCTAGTGATGTATTTGTTCCACTTATGTCACAATTTGTTGCAGGTAGAAAAGCAATGTGCTCATTTTTTCGGTGTGACAATAAATGAGCAGCAAGCTGAGTCAGGCATTGTAATAAGAGTTACTTCAACTGCACAAAGCAAATTCAAGGTATCACTTATGCCTTTATTATAACAATTCCTCTGTCTTTGTCCATCTGTTGTAATTTTGCTTCTGGTTAACAAGGTATTGGATTGTAATATTGAAGGCTAATTTTTCAGTTACTTTACTTTGAACAAGACGCAAATGGTGGCTATGGTTTGGCATTACAGGTAATATTTTTTGTTTTAGTTCTTATATGCTCAGTCCCTCCTACCCCTTTGACTGGTTGGTTTAATGGATAACAAATAGAAGTGACTATACCTACAATGAGTGGGTTGACATGGTAAGCCTTGTCAACCACTTAGAATAAGAACGAGAGTATAAATGTTGTGAAACCAGCTCATGTAGAATGCCACATAACCCTTGGGAGTTAAAATCTAGTGTTTGTTTAATTGTGAGTGTGTCTCTAGAATATTAACTATGTTACATGAATATGAGTACGGTAATGGTTCCTGGTACGGATACAGGTGTGCAACACAACAATTTTTAAAAATTACAGATACAAGTATACTAACATTTTTTAAATAGTATAAACAAATATAAAACATTTTTAGATTTTTGTGAAAATATTCTGAATAAAAAAACTTAACGAACTTGAATATCATTTCACAAGCAAAGATGAATAGGTTTGATTAAATAAAGAAATAAAAATGGGAAAATTGAGAGAAAGGTAAAAGAATCCCTAAATTTACTGGAAAACTGTCATTTTTTTGGAAGTAAAATGGTCCAGCTAGAACGTAAGGCATAACTGGCTATGTCTTAGGTCATACTCATGATTTAATGTTGACTACCCTTTAAGCCTTTTGTCTTGTGACACTTCTGCTTCTCATCTGGACAAAACCAGTTTCCCAAAAATGTCAATGTTTGCAAATCATGTCTAGCAGCTGGATTATGTAAAGTGGATGCTAGGTTCAAAAGTCAGAGAAACACACAACATAAACATTAGTTGAGAGAGCTTTGCTGGCCTGCAACCAGTTGTTTGTATGGATAATGTTAAAGATACACTATGTGAATAGATGTTAAGCTTGATCTGTAGTCTGTACAAATTGCAACTAGTTATTTATTGATGCAGTACTTGTGCAATCACAACTGGGTGTATATTTAGTTGATATTGTATGTCACTGTCTTTCTATGCAGGAAGATAGTGAGAAGACTGGCAAGGCGACATCTGCAGGAATGTATTTCTTACATTTTCAAGTGTATAGAATGGATTCAACGGTGAATGCGGTATGAAAATTATGTTCATTAGGTTTCTTTTTCATTGATGGGCTGTTTGGAAACCGGTGGTTACTGTAAGTGCTCTGGTGCAGTTAGCGATGGCCAAGGATCCTGAAGGGGCTTTCTTTAAGAGGTTGGAAGGTCTTCAACCTTGTGAAGTCTCGGAACTAAGGCCTGGCACTCATATATTTGCTGTTTATGGTCTGAATAATTTATTTTTTTCATTCCTCCTTTGCTAGATTGGGTTATTTTTTGTGTAATCTGTTTAAGTTACATCCACCTTGATTCAAGTTGATGTTGTTTAGGAGATAACTTCTTTAAGACTGCTAGCTATACGATTGAGGCTGTATGTGCAAAATCATATGAAGATACCACCCAAAAACTTAAGGACATTGAGGCCCAAATTTTAAGAAAAAGGAATGAACTCCGTCAATTTGAATCAGAATATAGAAAGGTTATTAGTTTCTTTAGTCACTCATGGTTTAAACTTTAGGGTTTGTTTTGAGACACTTATAGTGCTGTTCCTCTTGATATTTTTCAGGCTTTGGCACGCTATCAGGAAGTGACAGACAGATACACTAAAGAAAAACAATCTGTGCGTTCTTTCAACTTCTGCTACAGTTACATGACAAGAGTATATCTAGAAATGCACACGCTTGCATTCTTTTCAATAATAATTTTGCCCACAACTGATAATGAGTTGAAAATATCCATAACTGTTTCATTAAGTTTTGGCAAGCTAGATTGTTTGCAATTTTTTCTCACCTGGAACGTCTGGCTGAACAAAATAGGACCCGTAAGTAGTAATTATAAATGTATAATTTTAGAAGGGGGAAAGGATCCATCCATAAATGGGAGAAATGAAACAATTCAACTATTGTGCCATAAGATGCTCATCTTAGGTTTTGTCTTTGATTACGTTATCATGTGACCATGTAGTCAATTCCAAAAAATTTATTATTTTAATAGTTAACCTATTAATGTGCTCCTAAATCCAATAGTTACTGATACTTAGATTTCTTCTGTCATTGAACAATAGGATACGTTCATGTTGGAGAGAGAGAGAGAGACATTTTTTATCAAATATAATTTGTAGGTGCTATAGTCACTCATGGTGGGTCCTTATTTAATGAATATTGTGTGTGTGTCTCACTATCTCCCTCTCCCCAACATAATCATATGAATGTTTTCAAATTCTAGTTACTTACCTCTTAGTATGTCTTTGCGACCTTACTGAGGCTTATCTGCATTGGCACCCAGGTGGACGAGCTTCTGAAACAAAGGGACAGTATCCATTCTTCCTTCACCATTGTGAAGTCAACCAGTATCAGTGCAAGTGGTAGTAATTTAAGCAATGGAAGTTCTAGCAGAATATCTGGTGAAGATTCCAAAGTTGAGAGCCCTGGGGAAGATGGAGGGTCAGATGGCAAGGATAAATCAGGCAAAAAGAAATGGTTTAACCTTAATCTTAAAGGTTCTGATAAGAGATTGATTTAAAATACACTTGGATTTTGCATGTCTCTATTATTCAGCTTGAGTGTCAGTCGTGGCATCAAACTTATAGCAGCAGCCTGCGGATATTTGGATTGCAGTTTATGTCTGGAACACTTTCGTTTGCTTGCATGGTTACACCTTGCTGTAAACTGGTTGGTTAATTGTTCATTGGTATGTGATGAATTCAAAGGTATACAGTATATGTCTCTTACTGTTTCCGATATTTTTGGACTCCAACAAACCAAGACTCGCATCATCCAATTACCTTGTAGCATCCTGAACATTTATAAATTTTTTATATTGTAATTTTTAATGATATATTCATTCTTGTAACGGTTTCTTTCTTTTTCCTTGCTCTTTATATTCTGATACAGCAGGCTCTTTGAACAAGATAAATAAATTGTGTAGATATGACTTAGTTTCATATTTTAAAGACTTAACTACATTTTTAGTGCCTGAAATTTTTTGCATGATTTAGGGAGTGTTTGACAATACTAACAGATTAGCCAGGATAAAATTTGAAGAGCTAATTAATAGAATTAAAAGAATTTGATAAAATTAGTCGTTGAACTAACTGGTAAATGCAAAATAACAGATAAAGACAATTTTTAGTTCAGAATTTGAAATTTAGTAATATTTTAGTTTTACTCTTATTTAGTAATATTTTTATTAAACAACTAAAATAATATGAATTTGTATTATTATTTTGATGACTACCGATGAACATACCTTTAATTGTTAAAGTATAGAGACTGATATTTTTTTATCGTGCAATTTTTTAGGGAGAAGTTGGGTTCCCATTTCAAAGTAGAAAAAGTTGTCAGACTTAAATAGTATTTATAGAGAACTTACATTTAAAGGGATCTCCCTTTTAAAGAGATGAGTAAGAGTTTAAACTTGCAATATGTTAGAACATAAATCTCCAGATTAAATTTGATTTTCGCATTTTCTCAAAAAAAATAAAATATATATATATATATATATATATATATATATATAAAAGGACAGTAGACCCAAAATTATTAAAAAAATGTTTTTATTAAATATTTTATTTGTATTTTTAATTTTTATATTTTTTATATTTTATGTATATGTCCGTACATACGTATAAAATGAGAGATTAAGTTACTTTTTAAAAGTGATTTTTATAAAATCTATTTTGTTCAATATTTTTTATGAATATTAAATTTTATTAATTTAACTATTGAAGTAAATACTTAAATTGAATAAATAAACTGTTGAATTGAAAGTCACCCCTTCCGCGTATTGGTATTGGTTTCATGTATATTTATAGATTATTGATAATATTTTAATATTTTTTTCTTACATCTCATTTTCATTCTTTTTTTTTTGTTGCATCACCTATTATATTTTTTCTCAATTAAAAACTATTTTAAATAAAAAAATATTTAAATAAATTGATAATAAATATTTCAAAGTGATATTAAATTTATCTTTAAAACTTTTGGTGTAAACTTCTCTGATTTTTTTTAACATTAAGTAATGAGCTTTCCTACGTGTTCTTCTAAATCTTTTCATAAATTTTCTTAATACTTTATAAAATACGCATTAAATAAAAAGTATGCATTTTTTATCTTAGAAATATGGTTTTTTTCATAATTAAAATTTTTATAAGTGTACAAATTAAAGGTCTTTAAAATTATTCTTAATTTTTACATGCAATCATATAGCATTTATTAATCTGTTTTGAGCATGTGGTGGTAGAGATTCTTTCCTCCGTTAGCTCTTTTTTGTTATTTTAAGGTCTGATAGGGCCCAAAAACATTTATATGCCTGATTCATGAGCTTGGGATTAACATGTTTTGACCCAAAAGTTTGGGTCGGGCACCAAAATAAATTTTATAAAACAAGAGTCCTTTATCTAGAATCGTTTTTTACCAACAAAATCATGATTTTTTTAGATTCTTGCATATGTAAATACTGCATTAAAAGAAGTGATTATATGAATTATTAGAAGGAAGTCATTTTAATTAGAAATAAGGAAAGGTTTAAGTTGTAAAATAAATGACTAACTAGCTGGGTGTCATTTTTAATTAAAAATAATCTTCTCTAACTAATAGCTATTATATATTTTTAAACAAACAATTACATACCACATTTTAATACTTTCAATAGGAAGGTTATTAGTAATTACAGATTATTAGATTGGATTTCCCTAACAAAATTATTACATTTTTAGTTTTTTATATTTTAATTTATATATGATTTTTATTTTTTAAATTTTAGATGCGTATATTTAGTCTTATTAGACTCTTAGTTTCTCAATTATTCAAATTAGTTTTTAACATTCAAAAATTTATCTAATAATTAAAAAAAATAATAGAAGCATAAGATATTGTTGAAATATACACATTAATAAAAATATATGAAATATTTAAATAAACATAATAAATTATGTGCACAAAATATAATAAAAATATATGTATATTGTAAATCTAAATGAATCAACAGGATGTTATATTTTTATTATATTCATATTAATTATCAGATGAAATTTTAAAATAATATTTAATTTAAATGATTAAAAAATTATATAATTAAACGTGAACAATAAAAGATATAGATAATAAAATTACACTTAAACTAAAATAAATAAAAAATTGGCAAAATTATTATCGGCCTCACCAAATTCTAAGGAAGGTGGAGACTGGGTCTAAGCTATCACTTAACTTAATTACTTGCTAACAATAAATTTCAAACCTAATCCAGAAAGGTTTAAGGTTTCTTTTACACTCTGTGTTACTTGCTCTTGTGACTTGGTTTTACTGCATTTTCCCTCTTTTGAGTCCTAACCAACATACCACCTCAATAATTAGCCAAAATTTTCCATGGATTGATTCCAACGTTATATTGACAGTTGAAAATAAGAACCACAAATTGGAATTCTATCTTCGATTATTTTAGCTTGAGAAATTCACCATCTTACATCATTTTTGTTTGATTAGAAACGTAATAATACTAATAATACACATTCTAATACTATTGAGACACTTTAATATTACTATTTCTTGACATTATTTTTATGATTTAGTATAATACATATTTAATATTTGAATTAGTTTTTGACATTATTTAAATTTCAAAAACTAATTCAAATATATATAATTATTAAAAAAATTTAAGAAATATTTTATCTTATTTTTTATTAGTATAAAATATTTTAATACACGTACTCTTACGTTCAAGATTAAATCAAATGATAGTGTTATAATATGTTAAAAATATGATTTAACTCCTCAAAAGTAACTAAAAAATAAAGCATTTAACAACAACAATATACTCAAGATCAAATAGCAGTGTGTTCTATATTTGATAAAATAACACATCTAATAACTTCATAAAAATGCATTTTAATAATCTAATCATTTAATTTAAAATTCTTAAATAACAAAATTACACAAAATTTTATTTAATTTAAATACTAATCGATAGGGAATCATCTTTCTATATTTTAAAGTGTACGTAATATATTAATTAAAATATAAGTAAATAACTATTATATAATTATATAGTTATAAATATCAAATTTATATAAAATTTTATACATTCAATCTTTATAATAATATTAAAAAAATAGGTCAATAAAATTCATTTAAATAAAAAGTTATTAAAGTAACATTTTATAAAATTTAACATCCAATATCATTTGAACCAATTTATAATAAGAAAAAGAGAGAGATGAAATCTGTCTCTTCTTGTTTTTTTTTTTTTTTTTTTTTTTCTCTCCTTTCCATCTACCTCAAATCCAAAACAAAAGTGGTAAGGTATAATTATTCACTCAGTTAGATTCCTCGTTCAATCAAGGTATGAGAATCTAAGATAGAACTTGTTTTATATGCGACAACTTAGTTTGTGGACAGATTCCTTAATTATAAATGATCTTATTGAAGTAGGTAGGTACTTATCTAAGTAAATCATAATATTTTTTTCTCAGTTTTGTTCGAGGACGAAGAACTTAATTTACGCATAGGCTCTATCATAATTTAGCCCAAAAGTTCTCTTTTATTCACTACACCAAGACTATGAATTCTCACTTCTCATATCAATACTGTATCACAATTCACTTTGTCTTTACTGCCTCTAAGTTCGCATGCAGTTGGAAAATATAACGGGGAGATACAATTAATAAGACTTGATTGGAATTGGATGATAAAAATTTCTATCTTAGTGGATAAAAGTCCAAGTATAACAAGATTCGAGCACCGCTGCAGTAGTCTATTGTTTCGATTTAGGAATCTAAATCAACATTGTCTTTGCTAAAAAAAGATGAGTTCTACAAAAATGAAAGCTGTTCTAAACATTGCAAAAGTGGGAAAAATTAAAAGATAAAAAAAGTCTTCCCCTTTAAAAAAAATCGTTTTTCTTGAATAAACTTTAGGAATTTAGGTTTGAGAATGGACACGGATTTCCTTTCAAAAGGGAAAATAACTTTCCAATAATAGAAAATAAAAATTAAATAGGAATAAACTTGGAGCAGCCAAAATTTGTATAATTAATGATACGTGATAGATGATCAATGAGGATCTGGAGAGTTCCAAAACAACTTAGTGCCCATGTGGCATTAACAAAATCCAATAAGAATGCATCTTGTTTTCTTTAATCTTTATATACATAGATAGGTGATAATGTTAGATTTTGTCTTGTCATGTGCAAATGTTCCCTAAGTATGCATGTCTGTGGGTTATATGTTATGTGTGTGGCATATTGCATTAGCATAGCCGTCTAAATGTCCGTCACTTTATTAACAAACCATGCACTTGTTTTTGTCTCATTGATTGACTACAGTTTCCCTTGGTCCATCTAAAGCTTCACTTACGCCAACTTCCAAATACTTATTTTAAATTCATAAAAAGCGTAGAGATTTTTCATCTAATTGCATTTTTGTCGTAATATAATATTCTTGACCATTTAATCTAGGCTTTTCTTTCACGTTGATTAGATTATTATTTGTTTAGTTTGTTAATTATATGAGGGAGAGGGGGATGGGGACTACACATACTTAAAGCTAACTCCACCCCACAAAACATCCAACAATTTGGTTTTTTAATAGGGAAATATTAATTTTAAAATGAAGTAGGTAATGTCACTTGGAGTACATGGAGGGGCTAATTGAGTCATACCCACATTGTTTGGGGGTGCTTAAAAAGCACTTCGAACATATCCATAGAGAGGATTTTCAACTTGAAAACCAAGTCACATTAGAGTTATCTTTTTATCTTTTATGGATGCTTCCAAAGTAATGGTTGCGAAAAGAAACAAAGATGATTAGAAAGTTAATGAGGGGTTCTAAGATGATAGGATCATGTCTCTCAATAATATTATTAAATATTTTAATTTATTAATTTATTATTTAAATTTACTTGTTTTGAGCACAATTTGGTGGGCCATATCACGATCCGGGTGATCTTAAATGATAATATCTGCATCACTTCAATC